CTTTTATCAAAATTTGATAAAATATTTATCAAAAGTTATGTCAAACCACCCGTTTGTTTACAATATTTTCTTTCAAATTAATCTAGAATTTTTTAATCTCTTTCATTCTTTCTTCTTGAAGAAAGATTGCACATTGGAGAAAACACACATTGTGTACACACTTCACAGGGAATGACGTTTGGTAGAACTTTTTAAAGTTCAAAAGTTATTTATGGTGGTAAGAGACTGTCAAAAGAACTTTTTAATCTAAAGGCCCGTTTGACTAGACCTTTGATTTCTACTTCTTGTAAGCTTTATGAAAAAAGACTTTTAACTAGCTTCATTTAAAATTTTTTCTAAACAATCATGGACTAAGTAAAGAAATACATGCCAACTCATGATGGATCAAGACGATTTGAACCCCAAAGTGTTAGCATTTTGAATTTCAATTCTAATATGTGGTTAATGAACTAAGGGTTCATTTAACACGACTTTTGAAAAATCAAAATGAGCCTTTGAGATTTAAAAGTTACTTTTGGATTAATTTGATTAATTTTATAAAAGTGTTTTTTATGGTGGAAGAACTTTTAAAATGGTTTAAAACGGCTTCTTGTAAAAGTACTTTCGAAATAAAAAGCTCTTTTTAAAATTAGTTTTCAAACAAAAAATTAAAAACCATACTAAACGAGCCCTAAGATAGATTGGCACTCAAAACAATCGTCCAAGATAAATATCGGGTATCTAATATATGAATTATAATTTTTTACTCATTACTCTGTTTAAGTCACTACATGTGCACTCTCATTTACACTATTCTACATGTTAATATCTACATTCTTGATTTATAATTTATCCATCACATCACTGCATAAATTTCCTCCACGTAAGAGGAAATGTCATCCAAGTTGCAAGAAAGGATGTATATAATATCATAAGACAATGAATTTTATCGACCGCAAATTTGCAGCCTTTCTCTTCGACGTATTGTTCAATCCGTGAGGGCCGTTTCAAATCAATTCATATTTCAACTTGAGTAAAACCACGAGTGTAACATAAAGCCAAAATGTGAGCAGCATAAACTTTTGTATTGTAGCTATTGTCTGGTGCCTCCATGTTTGAATTCCAGCTGCTGTTCACATTTCCCTCTTCCCCATCCCTGCACCACTCCACCTTAAATATCTACATGTGAATTCCCATTTCCCCATTCCATCGCTCTCATTTTTCTCTCCTTAACAAACTCGAAAAATTCGCCCTTTCTGCTTCGATTCCCAACATTCTCTTCACCGACAATATGGACTTCATCATTTCATAGTTTAAACCCTAGTTCTAGCTTGAGTTTAGAAAGAGTCAATGGCCGTGTCGTCGTCGAGGAAATGGAAAGAACAAAGAGAAATGAGCCCGGAGAGGAATAAAATATGGACGGAACCTCCAGATTGTAAGATCAAATCTCAAAGAAAAGTTCCTGTTGTTTATTACCTCTGTCGAAATGGGCAACTCGAGCACCCCCATTTCATGGAGGTTACTCTTTCTTCTTCTGAAGGTCTCTATCTTAAAGGTAATCCCTTTACGAAAATTATGATGGGCTTATCGTGATGAAGAAAAAATCTAAATATTTTTGCTTTGTACAGACGTGCTCAACCGTTTAAACTTTCTCCGAGGTAAAGGCATGGCCGCTATGTATTCTTGGTCTTGCAAGCGGTACTGTTTCTCCCTGCAAATCCCACTTTTTTTATTTTTTCAAAATAAGTTGTATGATTTTGATTTGAAAGTTTTGATTCAGGAGCTACAATAATGGATTTGTCTGGCAAGACTTAGTTGAGAATGATTTTATCTACCCAGCTCACGGCCAAGAGTACGTTCTCAAAGGGTCGGAACTACCTGAGAACCCATTTCTCGAAACTGCGTCCCCGCCGCCCGCCGGTGGCCTAGATTCACGGAGGATGGAGAGACGGCTGAGAAACCAGTCCTGCAGTTCTATCGATTTCAACTTGCATGAGTACAGTGCATACAAAGCAGATTCCTCCGCCAGAGCCGTCGTTGACGGCTCCACTCAAACCGACGACAACCGTCGCCGCCGGCGATCCATCAGAGAAGCAGAAGAGAAGAGTAAAGAACAGGAACCGTGCCGGAACCAAAGCAGAGAAGAGATCGAGATCTCACCACCACCATCCGATTCCAGCCCGGAAACTCTAGAAACATTAATGAAAGCCGATGGTCGAGTGATCCTACGTCAAGAAACAGTCAACGAAGACCTAGCGGTCAACAACCAAAAAGCCAGAACATCATCATCAGTTCTGATGCAATTACTATCTTGCGGTTCCAATTCATTTAAGGATTGTGGGCCTACCCAGCGGCTGAATTTGATTTCTCAGTACAAAATGAGACTGCCACGTGGCTTGGAATCGAGCGGGTTAACTGGAGGAATTGGAAGAGTGAAACTGGAGGAGAAAGAGTACTTCAGTGGGAGCATAGTGGAGACCAAAAAGGAAGAATTTCCAGCCCTTAAAAGATCTTCTTCTTACAATGCAGATAGGTTAGTTTCATTGTACATTAAACTTTTCACTTGGCTAATGACTTTTCTGAACTAATTATTTGTATAATCATCGAAGTTTCGACGTTAATTTTTTCAACAGGAGCTCACAGTTGGAACTACAAGAGAGAGAGACGAAGGAAGTGACAGCAAAATGCATACCAAGAAAGCCAAAGAACCATTCTACTAGGAAAGAAGCCAACAATGACCACTAAATCTTGCAGAGAGACGAGTCTGGTTTTTTCCTAAATTAACAAACATGGGCTTGGTTGTACGAGAATGCCTTTTTAAGGTTCAACTCTAAATCTTCACACAATGTGGTCATACTTGTTCTACTCCATAGAGCCCGAAAATGTGTACTGTAATTGCCATACAAATAAAATCTGTCTTATTTTATTTTATTATTATTTTTTTTAATACTCAGCTGTCCGCTTTACAGTGACTAATTCTGGGGTCTACGAGTGTTGTGAAGTATGTGGATGCTTCTTTGACTTCGTAACTTGGGAAGTTAACATTTTGTCCCATGTTTAGCCTAGTGTATCTTGAATCCTAGGTTCTTCTTGTTTCACACAATGGGGAAGATTTAGATCAACAAGAAGTTGGGATGTGTAGTCATGGGACTTCACACTTGACTATTGCTCCACGATACAACAGAGAGTTGTACACACCAAGAAAAGTTGAGAATTAACTTAATTGAGAGGGTGTGTGGGAACCATTTTTGTGTAAAAATCTATTTTGGAATAGTAAATTGATGGAAAATGTGTGGTTGAAAAGTAAGGAAAAGTTTTTTATTAACGTATAATATTATTTTAATGAAGAATGTGTGGTTGAAAAAAAGAGAGAAAAAAATACATTTTGAAAAAAATGGGTATCAAAACGGGCCTGAGAACTTTTAAGTGATACCCAATATTGAATATATGAGTGGATAATATGATGAATTTACTTTTAATTTTTTTTTCCCCTTTTGTAGTGTCTGTCAATGTTATAGAACTCATCTCTAACAATCATGTTATATGTGAGTTAGTTGATTCACCCAGCATATACAAAATGATTCAATGTTACAATGCCATTTGGACAAACTAATCTATCAATATTTGCATAGAATTGAAGCAAATGAACCTACTTTTCAAACCCACGGCCCAAAATCGTAGCGATTGAATGACAATTGAAATGTATTAACTAGCTCAATCACATTACTCCAATAGATTAACAAGTTATCTTTGGACATCACATTTGACTATTGTTGAACAATACAATGAAGAGTAGTAAACAACAAGGAACGTTGAAATAGAACCGGGGAATTTAGTCGCAATGGGACAATCTATCTTACGCTAAGATGAAAAACAAAAATACCCACTCCCATTCTAATCTTGTTATGGGGGATTGTCTTGTGCCGTCATGCATTACACTAATTTGTAACACAACTCATAATTGAGGTTATTCAAGTTCTTTGAATAACCATATCAAGCATGGTATTATCCAACAATCCTATACCCATTATTTTGCATAATATCAAATACTATTGGTTCTATAAGGTGGTTGACTTACTTTGGAAAATGATATTGTTTTGAACAAAGAATCATTGGGGGGGGGGGGGGGTGATTCATCAATTAGATATATACATTATGTACATTGCACATATAAATAAGGAAATAAAATTCTATAATTGTAAATTACATTACATAGAAGCTGTAATTTTACTAGAATACGGGTTAAAGCCCAGAGTTACAGATGGCCCTAAAACTGAGGTGTCACTGAAAGTCTATTACCTTCGAGCTCATACAAATCAAACCCGTTAAGCCCAGCTTAAACCAACTGGGGAAACAATCTGGGCCCAAAATCATAGATAGGTTAAACATAAGTACAGCGTGCGTGCAGGGTTTTGATAGGTTAAGTAAAATATGGGGGCATCTAAATTGAGCTTTATTTCAGTAAGGAAACAAGAGAATAAGGTTCTATTTGGATGCTTAGGATGAACAATGAAAATAACAATAAGTTTATTTTAGACTATAAGTTTGATCTCATTTAAAAGTTGTAGAAAAACGTCTTTATAATTGATTTAAATGCGTAGGTTCTCGCTTTATCCCAAGGTACATAAGATCAAATTTTAGAATTCTTGGTGATTTCCACTTCCCATGTTTCTTTTTCATCTTGATTTGCATGAGATGATGAGCTCACGAAAAATCCTCTTTTGTTGGCGCCCAATAGTTGCACGCTACCTGCTCCCGACTAACGATCCGTAATATTTCATGTGAGGATTCATGTACTGAAGCTTAACTATGGTAACAATTATTAGGTTTGGTACAAGCCTAAAGTTGAGTTTTCGAGTACTATGAGAATTATATCGTTGAAAATGATATTCTTTGGCTTTTAAGCCCAAGCTACTTTGGGAACGCTAGTAACATAAAGAAACTAATATTTAAGCCAAGTTGATGTACGATAAAGTTGAAATCCATATTTTTTTTATTTATGTATAGAGAATAATGAATATAGATTTTATAAATATAATTATGCCATGTAAAATATATAATATAAGACAAATAATAATAAATGATATAATCAGATTCAGATGGCATGTATATGTTATATTAAAGAGTAATGTATTGGCGTTACATGTATCTATCAACGTATAACTTTAGATGTTAGATAATATGCAAATTTAAGTGTAAGTGTTGGTTGTGATACCTACAACTTTATACGTACATGTCGCACAATACAATTAATTTTCTTAGATAACACGCAGATTTAAGTGTAAATATCATGTGTATATATCTACAACTTTATATGTACATGTCGCACAATATAATTTATTTTCTGAGATGACATACAGATTTTAGTGTAAGTGTCACGTGTTGGCGTTACATATACAATTAATTTTCTTTTCCATTTCAACTGAGACGTTAATTTTTCTACCTGATAATTTATGATATTTTTGGATCCATACACAATTAGATAAAATAAATTAAGAAAAAATGAATGTTAATCAAAGAATTAGTATTTTGGATAGATTGTATTTTTCCCTCTTTTACACTTTACATCATGATTAGTAAGTAAAATTAAACAGGGTTAAACAACTTGATTAGAAGGATCGAGCGGTAGTATTTTAATTTTTTGTTTCTTATTTAGGCTCCATTTGAGCCTCATTGAATTTATAATACATTTTTCCTTCTCTTATTTTTAATCACACATTCTCCAATAAAATAATTTTACACATAAATCAAAAATATTTTTTTCTTTTTTAATCACACATTCTTAAAAAAAATGCTATTTCAAAAATTGGGGCAAACGGGAGCTTAATATTGTCCCGTGTAACTTTTGTAATTTTCAATATTGCATTTCTCTCCCTTAACTGTGAAAAATTGGAGCCTATAAAAGTATAGTCTTTCCCGTCTTTAACGATGTCCGCGCCTATCATTTTTATGCTATGTTTGTCTTAAACAAAATAAAATTCCAAAATATTTCTGAGTTCAGCTTTCTTATTACTTACCCGTAAAGCCTTTGCTCTATGCTCCTGTGTTCATATCTTTATTTCAATTTGCATGCTGCAAAATCACCAAAAAAAGGCACACAAACACCATTGGCACACTGTAGCTAATCGCCTATATACATATATCTGTATGTATCTGCATGTTCTTTATGTTTAGAACTTATTCATGATCTCTTTATGTCTATGATGTTCAATCTTGCTTTATCAAAAATGGGTTTGTATTATATTTGAATTCTAACTAAGTTCCCTTTTTTTTTTTCCTTTTTTTTTTTTTTTTTTTCCTTATTTCCCTTTTTTTTTTCTTTTTTTTTTTTTTTTTTTTTGGAGTTAGTGGGGTTTCTGGGTTTTAATTCAATTGGGTTTTTTCTGCACTGATGGCACCTTTGAGAGGAAACAAAAAGAAAAGGAAGGTCGAGAATAAGGATGAAGAAAACTCTTTGGTTTCTGGGTCTTCAGAAGAGAGCTCTGCTAATTGGTGGAATGCTTTCTCAAAGAAAATTGCTGGTAACCCAAATTCTATATCAGTTCATTTTTTTGTTAAAAATCTAATATTTTATGATAAATTTGATGTTTTATTTGTTCTGTTGATCATTTAAGATATAATTGGAGATTTTTAAACATCCAATCCTGATTGACTTTAGTTTTTTTGTGTTTGTTTAATTTAATTTGGCTGCCCTTACATTGAATTTAGATGTTTTGTATTTTTTGAATGTGTATGAATGTGTTGTAGTAGATCCCTATTTTGCTTTGATTTTTGACTTTTAAGTTATCCTTTCGATTAATGTTTTGGTTTCATTAATCTGACATATGATTCAAGAAATTGTGCAAGTTTCGTTACACTGAATTAACATTTTTTATTTATTGAATGCATATGAATGTGTTAATATAGTTCTCTATTTTGCTTTGAATTTCAACTACTGTGTTATCCTTTCAATTAACATTTTGGTTTCATTAATTTACAAAATTATTCAAGATATAATGCGGGTTTGTTGATAATCTTTTGTGCCATCTTTGTGCGGATATATAAGCATCATTGAGTCATCTTCGTGCGGATGTATAAGCATCATTGTGCAGATAAGCACTTACTGATCCCTTTTCTTAAGAATGGTGACAAATCCACTTGTGCATTTTGGGAATAAATTGCCGCTGTTTCAAGAACTAGTTAATTCCATTTTCATCAAAACAGAGAATATGAGAAACTCCTTGTGTTCAATGATGATATCACCATTTCTCTTTGGAAGTTAGTTATTTATTTTTCTGTAGCTACAATGAAGTATAGGATTTAGCTGGTAAAAGCAATTTCAGAAGCCACATTATTAATTATCTCCTAGTTTAGTTTATGTGTAACTGTTAAGGAACATAAGTTTTTTCCCCCTAGTTCTAACACCTGGAATCCTCTTATTTTTTCCTGAAGTTTAGGGTAATGAACATTGATTTTCATTGTTTGGAGGGGGAATTAGTTGATGACTATGGGGTTCTGGTGCAAATGTGAACATAATTTCATTGTGTATAATGGTATTAGTGATTGAAAATATTACATATGAGGCTTTGAAAGGAGGTTCTAATTAATTGATGGAGTATCTGATATGCATTGACCTGCATTCATTTATATAAAAGTTTGTCATTTGATATAGATATTACTACCTATAAATTCAGAAAGTGTTGTAATTTGTGGGCATAATTCAACAACTTATATGTGCAAACTTAATGAAAACTTAGTGGTATAAGTTGTTGGCATAATTCAACATTCCATTACCGTTTAGAAGTTGATTGTTTGGTTGAGTTTGAAGCCCAACGATCTTTTAAGCCCTTCTTTCTTGTTGCATTCAATTGGAAATGTAGTACTAATATCCTCCAGACTGAATGAACTCATGAAATAAAGAAAACACATGTGTTAGGGATGGGACTTTTTCCAACAAATTTACATATTTGTATCGACAGAACATAAGTCTTATATTCAGCTGGTGGAAATCACTAGCACATCTCTCCCTGTAACATATATTTTTGTTGTGGAGAGAAGGAAAATAACTCGGATAGAATGTTTGCATTGGCACATTTTCAGAAAACCTACCAATAAGTAGGCTAGGTACCTTTGGTTTGTTCTCCAATCCTTCTTTTGCATATGTTCAGGCATTAAATGTTAACATACTCCCTCCTCTTGTAGTATTATTTTAACTAGAATAGTGTGGGTAAGGATTCAGTCTAAATCCTCCAGCAGGCACAGTTAATTTCTTCTGAAAAAAATATGTAAAGAAAGTAAAAGATGAAAAATCAATGGAACTGCTCGAGATTTCATATAGGTTTTACAAAAAATTTGAACTTTTTATCTTATTATCCTAATAAACAGATGATTTTGGTAAAAATTTATTGAAAAAGTAACCAATGGGCTGCATTTTTTATATTGGAGGAGCTACACGCTGTTGACTGAACTTTAGTAAAGCAATCTATTATTGAGTCTCTTACTTGTAGAAGACAAAAGGAGATGTATAAAGCTCCATTTGTTGCCTATAAAGTAAAGTCAATGCTTCTAAATGTTTTAGGGTACATGCAATGTGTTAAATAGGTTCTGTTTCTAATATATCTGCATACCAATTCACAGAAAACGATTGAAGGAAGCACACTAATATCTAGAAATAGTGAGCTTTAAAGTTCTCTTCTGTGAGTCGATTTCCAGGAGTTAACTAAGGTAGTTTATGGTGACACAGAGTAGGAATACATAACGTGTAAATACTGTGACTAATATCTAGATTGAAGGAAGCACACTAATATCTAGAAATAGTGAGCTTTAAAGTTCTCTTCCGTGAGTCGGTTTCCAGGAGTTAACTAAGGTAGTTTATAGTGACACAGAGTAGGAATACATAACGTGTAAATACTGTGACTAATTCTCATGAGTACAATAAGTGCATGTTTCATTATTTGATAGGAATTGATGGTAGACAATATTTGAATTTATTTATTCTACCTTAATACTATCCATTAGCGTAAAGCACACAGTACTAGCAATTTATAAGAGATTTCTTCAAGACCTCGACAACTAAAACCAAAAATCAGAGTTATATCGTTAGTTTGACTATCACATGAAACGAGGAAGAGAATCAAGAGGCATATTTTCATTCCTATTTGTTGTCCTTGTTCAACTATCCAGGATGTATTCTATTAGATTCATGATCTAAAAAAATCGGTTGATGAATTGACTTGGTTTACTGGATTGATTTTGGTTTTGATTTAGCTGCTTCTTTCTTTAACATGGATTTCCATTGTTTGTAGCTTGTTTTCTCTCTGTAGACAGTCATCTAATAGCTTGTCTTCTTATATAATTTGAAATTGTCTTTTGCTCATGTGTCTACACTGTTCATTTATCTATATTTACAAAGTGGCTATATTAGATTTTGACCATTCTTAAATTTCTTGATAAGAGAAGGGCAGCGATTTTATATTTAATTATTTATTTATTTATTTTTTTGCTTTGATTTTCCATAATATTCTCTTGAAATAGTTTTCTCAAAAATCAGGAAAAATGATTATAACTGCAGCTTTGCTAGTAATTTTCATGGTTTCTTTAAAGCTCTGCCAATTAACTTCTACATTTAACAGTGCTAATAAAATATCTCATTTTGGTGTAAATATGCTACTTCTTGTAGATATATTAGAAATATATGATGAAAAGGGCCGATAGTTATGAACTAGCAAATCAAGCACATCAGAGTATAGCAAGTGCACGTGATATATCAACATATTCTGAGTGCCGGTTCTTATTTTGCTTGAGATTTATTAGAAAAAGTACAGCATTCAGGGAGGTTACAAAGTCTCTCAAAATAGAACAAATTGTTTCATTTTATCATTATGCATGATTTGAAAGAATTTTCACTTTGTATATATCATGCGATTTTCAGATTTAAAAAAAGTTTCTGTAACTATCCTGGTGCAAAAGGAGATCTTGGATTCTTTCTCTTAAAGGTGCGGAGCGAACTGTCGGACTAGGAGCTGTGATTTCTTTTGTTGTCCAATTGCTGCAGTTTCCCATTCTGTAGTTGTCGCTTTATATCGAGAAGCTTCCGATTCCGTATCTGATATGTTCTGATATGTTGTTTATCATCCGATATAGCTAGATAGCCACCTCTTTCTCCACATATAGCTCCACTGGAGATAATAATTTTACAGATAAACAGATGGAAAATGATATTTTTAACGTATTAGGGAAAATATCCTGGAAGGACTGCTTTTAGTTTTTCAAATAATACCTGAACTGTTGTCTCACTTTAATTCAGGCCTGCATTAAGTGAAAGTGGATGAACTAAATGACTTCTTCCTTCCTAGTTAGGCAGTTTCAGGAAACCTTCTGTCTGATTAGTCTATTTATTTTTTCCATTTCTTGGATTTATGACATTAGGTAACCAAAGTAAAACTAACAGGATAATGTCCATTATTCAAAAATTAATATCTGTAGATGTTTAATTCATATTCTGGACTGGAAGTCTATGGGGAGATTCGTCTTCTCGGGTGGTTTTTTCTGGTTCATGAATTTAAGAATGGCAAGTTGAGCATCAAGATCGTCCCCTAATAGTTTTCTTGTGTACCTAGAGCATCAAGAATTGGTAAAACATAATTGTACTACTCTGGATTATACTTAAATTGAAAAGAACGAATCAGTTATCACATCTCATCGAGACTTTAGAATGTTGATCATTTTTTGAAATGCGCATTCTAGCTTGACCTTCATATCTTTCCCTTCTCTTTTCTTTATAAGTTGGTCGTCACATCACTTTAGTTGATATAATTTGCACACTATTGAGCTGATATATATATTTCTTATGTTCATGGACTGTTTTTCTTAATTGGCATTTCACACTATTTGAGGCGTTCTACTTTTATCGATAAAGACCTGATAGACTATGATCAACTTTTCTCAGATCAGTTTACTACTTTACCTCTGCAGGTAGTCCATCTCAATCAAATGGATTGGATAAGTTCAAATCTATTTTCCAAATGTCGAGAAACACATTCGACTATATATGTTCCCTGGTAAAAGATCACATGATGGCCAAAACACATTTTTCTTTTTCAAATGGAAAGCCATTGTCATTATGTGACCAGGTAGCTTTAGCTTTGAGAAGGCTATCTTCAGGAAATTCACTAATTTCAATTGGTGACTCGTTTGGGGCACATCATTCAACCGTCTCTCAAGTGACATGGCGTTTTATCGAGGCCATTGAAGAAAATGGACTTCACCATCTCCGCTGGCCTTCTGCTGAACAAGAAATGACCAAGATTAAAACCAAGTTCGAAAAGATCCAAGGCCTTCCAAATTGTTGTGGGGCAATTGATACCACACACATAAAGATGATGTTAACGTCGTCTGATCAGGGAGCTGACATGTGGCTTGATCGCAAGGAGAATCACAGCATGATCCTGCAGGTGGTTGTGGACTCTGATTTCAGGTTCCGGGACATAGTCACAGGCTGGCCGGGAAAGATGAATGAGTACTCAGTTCTCCAGAGTTCGAATTTTTTCAAACTATGTGAGAAAGGAGAGAGGATGAACGGGGATAAACTAACTTTGTCAGAACAAACTGAAGTTGGGGAATATATAATTGGTGATACCGGATATCCGTTGCTGCCTTGGCTCATGACTCCTTACCAAGGTAAAGAACTTTCAGAATCCAAAGTCGAGTTCAATAAGAGACTTATCGCAACTCATATTGTTGCAAAGAGGGCATTGGCAAGGCTGAAGGAAAGATGGAAAATGATTCAAGGAGATATGTGGAGACCCGACAAGCACAAGTTACCAAGATTTATTTTCGCATGCTGCATTCTCCACAATATTGTTATAGACATGGAAGATGAGGATTCAGATGAGGGGCCCTCGTCTCACCACCACGATCCTGGATATAGGAACGAGGTTTGTGAATTTGTTGATGAGTCCGCTTCGAATTTGAGGGACAAGCTATCTATGCATTTATCTGGGAGTCTTAATTCTCATGTCAATCTTACATTTGATGGAGTTACTGCCTAGCTGCCACTCATCATACAGTTAAATAAGATAGGAGAATCCAAGGAGAAAAAGAAAGTGATTTTTAATTTTCATTCAGGAATTCACCTTTTTTTTAATTAATTAATAAATTTCAGAGGTTAGTACTTGATTTTTCAATTTCTAGACGTTGGAGATAGTTTTGTGTATTTCAATTTGTTATATTTCACGCGAGTATTGCTGTCAGCATATGATGCCACAGTAGATAAGTTGCCCGGTCTGCTCTCGACCCTGCTCCACTACCGCACCCTCACAACCTTCCCTTGCTCCTCCGGCCCCTGCCTGACTACCACATCCTGGTAACTCTCCATTATTGACCAATTCCGAAGCACGACCAGCCCATATTTTAGCTATTCTTGCCAGCCTTCTTGATGTGATCGAGACATGGTCTATTTTCCAATATGCTTGCTTTACTATAGGGAGTTATTTGCTTATGCTTCTCTTCCCAAAGAGGGTATTCACCATTTTATGTAGATATAAGATGTTAAAAGTTATTACATGGGGGTGGGGGGGGGGGGGGTTCTGTTGGGACCGATTGACTAATAATGCACGAATTGAGATTTGATGAATTCCACTTGTTGTAATTGAAGTATTGAATAAGATTACAAATAACCACGAACAAGATTAAAGTAAAGAAATAAAAGAATTGGCAGAGGAACGATGTTATTTTATTCAATCAATGAAATGAGAAAATTACAGCAATAAAGGCTTACAAATACTAAAAGAGGAGCCTTGTATTTATAATATAAAATCTAGCCTTAAAAGAGTCCAAAAAAAGGTAAGAAATCTAATGCAATTTAGACTCCTATTTGAGTCACACTTCTAACAATCTCCACCTTGACTCAAATTTCGGTGCAACCAACAAAATTCCAAAATTTCTCCACCTTAAGAAATAATCCGTCTGCATTAGAATGAACTGACCAATCTTCTCAAAGCAATAACCAAACTCTCCACGATAACACATTCCCCCGCCCAGCGTCCACAAGCAACACCCGAATCCAAACTCGGGTTTCCAAAATTCCTCTTGAAATTAATAATCATTGGACAGGGTCGAAGCACACCCTGTAGCAGAAACCACACCAAATGCACAATCAGAAGGTCCCTTGCTAATATTGTCACCTTCAATGATTTCTAAAGCATTACAGACATCTCCAAAACTGTATCTACGCTCCATGAATCCATTGGCATTACAAGAACGTAGTGTACTTGCTAAAATTGGTGGCAAAGCAGACTCACCAACACTTCCTTGAGCAAAGTTCTTAATTGACCCAGAGCCAAACCCGAGAAGTACTGTACCAAATTGAATGTCCACCACGGTACTGAACTTGTCCAAATGTCTCTGAATTGGTTCTGCGCTCCCCTGCAAGATGTACAACTGAGATTTCCTCCATCATTTCAGTACAACCCGGACACCCCTTCGAACCTCCAAGACTCCACCTCCACCAGAAAATTTGTACCCTTTTTCATCCAAGGTACTCAGTGATATGAGATTCTTTGTCAAGTCTAGAACATGATGAACCTGATCAAGTGTCCTCACTATTCCATCCAATAGCCTCAATCTGACCCGACCGATTTCTGCAACCTGGCAAGATTGGTTGTTTCCTATGACAACTCCATGTTATTTCACCGTCTCATATGTTTGAAACAAAGCCCTATTGGGACACATATAATACGAACAAGCAAAATCCAAAATCCACTCCTCAGGTTTGGATTCCCCTTCAGATACAGCCAACATCACATCTCCATCATCACAAAAATTTTCAGCAATATTAGTCTCGTTCGAATTACGTGATTGCCCGGCATGATTTGCATGTAAATCACCTTTACCTTGCAACTTGTCGCAATCTTTCTTGATGTGTCCTTTCCTTTTGCAGTAATAACAATACACATTGCTGTACTTCACCTTCGATCTACCCCTTCGTTGATCACCATGAGTAACAAGAGCATCCCCACTCCTAGATGCAGGATCTCCAACCAATAATTCCATCTTCTCTTTTGAGAACAGGGCGTCGTATACCTCCTCAATGGATAACGTGTCACGATTATACAGAATAGTATCACGAAATGACGAAAAAGAATTGGGTAGCGAACACAACAGGACCAAGGTTAGATCCTCTTCATCATATTTTACCTTAGACGTCTCCAAATCTGCAACGATCTCCTTGAACACAGTAAGGTGGTCCTGCAGTGACCCTCCTTCCGCCATGCGATGAGAATACAACCTCTGCTTTAAAGTCAGTTTGCTCGTCAAACTCTTTGTCATGCACAACTGCTCTAACTTGAGCCACAAAGCAGCCGCTGTCTTTTCTTTCAAAACATCTTGCAGCAAATTGTTGGATAAATGAAGTTGGATTTGCGCTAAAGCCTTCCAATCCTTCCTTTGTTTCTCCTCCATAGACAAGTTTGCTGGCATCTTATCAAAACCCAGCAAAACATCATCAAGATCTATCTGTGTCAACGCAGCTCTCACCTTTACTTGCCACAGTGAAAATCTTGTATTGCGATCTAATAGCGAAATTTCATACTTCAACGAATTCATCTCTGAAAAATCTCAATCAAGTCACGAAGAATTTGCAACACCCAAAATTGAAAATTACCGAACGTGCAAGAGGCAAAATAGTCCAGAACCTTAATTTTCCCAAAACTGAAATTGGACACCACCACAAGATCCGTTTCGTAGTCCGGAGAAAACTACCTGAAGACACCGTCGCCGGAAATAGCCGCACGCGCCGCCACTCTCCTCGCCGAAGTTTCACCGTCGGCGACTGGCCGGACCCTTTCTGGACCATCTCTGCCTGCTGAGTCCACTGGTGGTGTTCGTTTCTCCAAACTCTTTTTGGTTTGACTAGAAAACGCAAAAAAAGATCCGGCAGAAAATCGAAAAATTGGACAGATTCGTTTTTTGATTGTCTGATAATTTTCAGACGATTTTCCGATCAGTTTCAGGCCAAAAATCCACCAATAACCCAGCTCTGATACCACTTGTTGGGACCGATTGACCAATAATGCAGGAATTGAGATTTAATGAATTTCATTTGTTGTAATTGAAGTATTGAATAAGATCACAAATAACCACGAACAAGATTAAAGTAAAGAAATAAAAGAACTGGCAGAGAAATGATGTTATTTTATTCAATCAATGAAAGGAGAGAATTACAACAATAAATGCTTACAAATACTAAAAGAGGAGCCTTGTATTTATAACATAAAATTTAGCACTAAAAGAGTCCAAAAAAATGGTAAAAAATCTAATGCAATTTAGACTCCTATTTAAGTTACACTTCTAACAAGTTCCTTGATTTAAACGATCAATATGGTTACGATACAACTGATATTATAACTGTCATTACAAAGTCAATCCCTCAGTACATTGGAGAGTTGCTATTATACAAGGTTAGGGAGGGCCAGTTTCTACTGTACAAAAGACGAGGTAGTACGTAGTAAATACCGCAGCAGCGAAGCCATTCAAGTGTTCTTCCAGTGTACTGCAAAATGAAGATAACAAAGAGAAACTAAGTATTACGTTGGAGTTTAGAAGACAAATAGAGCCTTCACAGGACAAAAATGCTTGTAATTGACTGATTTGAATCTATAAGGCAGTATCATATTGATCTTCACTGTGATCATCATACACATGATGCTATATTTCCATTTTTAATACAGTTTATGAAAGAAAACTATGTAAAGCCCGGGAGATATAGGTCGATATAAAGTCAATGAGAGAAGTGTACGAGAGAGACGTAAATTCATCGTGCATCAACATAAATATACCGTAATACATAAATATATGTTTGAAAAGGAGAAAGGAAGAAATCATGATGGAGGACTATAGGCGTATTAATTTATACCTTTTCTTGAAGCAATTTCAGCATTTTCTTTCTGAAGCTGCAACATTTTTGGATGACATCCAAAAGCAATATATTTAATCATACAAAAGTATTTTACACCAAAAGTATTCTTAATTCCCTTCCCTGATTTTCTTAAGAAATAATCCATCTTTTGTGTAAATAATCACCTTCGTTCATGTAAAAGTCCAGTGATAACAGCTAAATAAATGCAACTACTCAAGCCAAAAAAATGTTGAAAAACAACATTGTAACAAGTGAAGAAAATATCGTGCTTAAACGACAAGGAAAATAGAGGATGTTTTATGAAAAGGATTAAGCAATAGGAATAATGCCTATCTCATGCTAGAAAAACTTGACATGACACGATGTGACTCTTCAATCCACTTCCTGTACTCTAACCACATATTTGTAAAATGATTCCTAGTATGCCCTATGGAATATCATTTCTTTGTTGTTCTTTTAGTTGTTTGTAACTCTATGGAGTGTTAATCTTATCTATATCATCACTTTGTAAACAAATTTGTACACAATTATTTACAAATAGCATTACTCCTTGAGATAAGTAGCCTAAAAACACTTATCTCGGCTGAATTCTTTTGCCACTCCCACCCCCAGAGGAAAAAAATAAAAAAATCTGGAGCCATTTACCTTATTTTCCCAAATACTTAAGTGTTCTACAGGAAGCAAAGTAAATGCCATCATTTAAACTAGCATTTAGCAATTAGCAGGTGTAGGATATATCAAGTGAATGTGAAAAGCAATACAACCTTCAATCTCATCTCACAATAACAGAACGTTCGAAAACTTCAGACTTGAACATGTATTTACCCTCTATGCACATATTGGACATGGATATTTCAACCATCCAACAACTGTAGATAGCACAACAATGCAAAGCTTGAAGGTATAATTATAAATATACAGGTAATTTCTAAATTAAGGGCGCATTTGTTTCTTATTTTTGCAAAAATGAGCATGAAAAATATAGTTGTTATAAGCCCCACACAAGAGATAGAAATTCAAATTCGATGATTTGATGTGATGGATAACAGTTATATTTTTCATTTTAATGAAAAAATAATGAGAAATAAACAAGGGTTAAATAATTTTGTTGGTTGGTCAAACTTATAAATAAGTTACTTGTTTTGACAGTATTATAAAATTCACATTCTATATTGGTAAATTCTAAACATGCTAACAGTCAAGCAAGTGAAAGCGGTCTACCAGATCACTGGGGGAATACCTGGCCATCAGTTTCTTCAAGGCTTTGCTTGCTGCAATCTCCTCGGCATAGTGTACAAATACATTTCCTTCTGATTTGCCACTAACATGGTCACATACAATGTTTACAGCAAAATACATCGCGTCACTTTCCTGCTAAATAATGTCACATTCAGAAACTAACACAAAAAGTTCATTATCTACCTTAAATTACTTCGCCATACTTCTCGAAAGCATTCTAGAGAAGAGGTTCATTGGTATCATAAGAAAGTCCTGAAATTCATAATTTTTTATAGAAATGAAATACCTTTGTTAACATTTTCAGAATTGAAAACAACCGAATAATGGCATGATCTATGCGTTTTTTTAGGATTTCTCCTAGCGCTTTAAGGATTCCAAACACTAGTGCTTGCACATACCCATACAACCGTGCGTGTGATTCCATGGAGAGAGAGAAGAGACCTCCAACGAACAATTTTGCAGAACACCGGCCTGGCCAAGGAATAACGAGATCTTTTCCTGTGCTTACTATCCCACTCAGGTGACAGAATAAGCTGACGAGAAGCAACAAGCAGTCGCAGTCAAAGCTTGGCTACAGCTAAGCACTTACCAAGCACGAAAGAAAGGGCTTTCGCCACTTGACCCGTACACGAGGAAACTCACAAGTCAGTTCTCTTTTTTGGGTTGGGAGGGGGTTGGGGTGTTGGAGGGAGGGCTAGTAGGAGCCATCCCATCAAAAAAAAAAGAAAAAAGAAAAACACTTTCAACGGAAAAACTAATTGAGTCAATATAATTGTAGCATCTACATCATCAAATCAACCAAAAGAAACATGAAAAAAATGAAATGGAAAGAAAAAATCAAGAACTGAAACAAGGGTTTTCACTTTTCATTCATGGATTCAAAGAGAAAGGGGTCTAACAACATAACTACACATTACAATCTTCATCCTCTCCTACCCAATTATTCTAAAAACTCATTCTAAGCTAAACTAAGCTGCAGCCTTCTTGGGGGATTTGGTAGCCTTTGAGGGTGATTTTGGTTCTTTAGTGGCCTTATCTCCACCAGCCTTCTTTGGCAACAATACTGGATTAATGTTCGGAAGCACTCCACCATAAGCAATGGTTACTCCTTGCAGCAATTTTCCAAGCTCCTCATCGTTCCTGATAGCCAATAACACATGCCTCGGGATAATTCTGTTCTTCTTGTTGTCCCGAGCTGCATTTCCAGCCAACTCCAAAACCTGGAACAATTAATCAAATTGGGATTGATCAATTTATTGGCCAAAACGAGATCGCATTCAAATCATTATGAATAAGAAACAAAGTGCTTGAAAATTGGACGTCAGTTAAAGATCCAATTTTTGTGTATAAAATGTACATATAATTGGTTATATATTTTCAACATTAATCCAAGGGAATGCAAAAATATTAAAAATCAAAACAAAAACCCAGATTACAATAACATTAGTTCAAATGATTTTTGAACACAAAAATACAGATCTGAACAGAGAAATGTTACCTCAGCAGCAAGATACTCAAGAACAGCTGCCATGTAAACCGGGGCTCCAGTGCCGACCCGCTGGGCGTAGCGACCCTTTTTCAAGTAACGGCCAATTCTACCGACCGGGAATTGCAGACCGGCTTTGACTGAACGGGACACCGGCTTCTTCTTCGGGCCGCCGCCCTTCCTTCCTCCAGCACCCTTCTTCACCTTTGTTGCAGCAGCCTCCATGAAATTAGGGTTAAAATTCAGCAATTAAGAATGTTCAAATGTGAATTTAGGGCAAAATGGGCAATCAGCGAAGGGATCAGGCGATTGAATCAGGGATAGAGAGTGGATAAATGGAGTTCGATTATATATATAGTGGTGCCGCTAAATTTGGATTGCAAGGATGGAGTGATGAGTACCGTCGGATTTTAATGTATTCGATTGTGTACGATTATTTAGTCTGGATCCGCGCATTCTGAATTGGACCAATGGAAAGATAGTTAAGAATTTGAATATTTTGTGCCCTAAATTTCATTTTGGACTTTTAGAAATCTTTCCTAGGAATGACAATGGGACGGTTATGGGATGAGTAGGCCATTTCCACCCCCGTTCAGTCTGGTGTTTTTGTTGTCTTATCTCATATTCACACTCAATTAAAGCAGAACGAAGCAGGTTCGGTGTGGGATCGGGGCGGGGCGTTGCCCCCCTGACCCCATTTATCGCCCAATTTATTTTTTCTTTTTCTTTATTGTTTATTATTTTTATTTTTTGCTTTTATTTTTTATGTCCTTAATTAGTAAATGTTATTTCTTTTTTACTAATTAGTTAAAAACAACTTATATTATCTTTAAAAATGATGATAAATTTATTATTTTTATTTGATAAAAATTTAAATTCGAAATCAACTTTAAATGTGACGAGTAGCGGGGCGGGGACTATATTTCCCGTACCCATCCCATACCCACTTCGGGACAATAACCCTCGCCCCATACCCCTCCCATTTACCCAGTTAGGTGGGTAATCCACGCCCATTCGTTTACTTATGAGTTTTATTAGTTATTAATTTAATTAAACATATATTTGAATTACAAATTTGTTGTCACTATTGCGAATTTACAATTATTTGGATTATGACGTAGTAGATGCAATAAATGGAACGGCCTCAATTGTGGTTTAATTAAATATCATTGCTAGGAAGAGGACAAAAAAATTCGTTAAACTCAATACCTATGGGACCTTGATCCAAAATGAGACGAAGATTCTCCGCCTAATAGGGTGGAGGTAAGGGCAAAAAACATGGTGCTTATTCGTTTAAAATTTATTTTAAGATATGAGTTTTCAATCTTACAAAAAGAATAGAATTATTATCCTCTCCAAAAGGAACATAAGTTGTTCTACATATTAAAAAGATAAAAAATAGTGATTCACAACAACTAAAAACCTAAAAAAAATAAGAGCAAGAAAAAGATGGTAAATCAAACAGGGACCTGTCCAATTCCCAATCCCACCCTAATAGAGCATGCGGCATGATAGGAGAAAAAAATACTTGACAGGGACAGGAAACGGGTATACCTATCTCGACTAGTCTCCTTGTCATCCCTAGGGACAATTAAGATTTTTTGTTGTAAATAATCATTTCTGTGGTTCATCATTGCTTTGTTGTTGTACGCATGATATAGAAGAAAGTTGGGAGATTTTCAATTCTTTTAAACTAGGTTAGCATTTTACAGAACGCAACATTAACATTATTACCAACAAGATCTAATATTAGTTGAATGTCGGATATTAAAACTGTCATATTGTATTGAGAACACTTCTTATTTTGCTTACGTGACAAATTTTTTTAGTGAGCTCTGGATGGTGTATTGTATGATAGTCCACGTTAAGAGCAATATTATATTAAAGGCTTGACAAATATACACTACTCATAAATGAACAATAATGAGACGATTTCAAGACTTATGCCTAATCTGATATGAAGTTGAACATGAATCACCTGATAAATATGCACAAGCAGGTGAATTTCGATACATAAATTTGATTTATTAGTAAACAAAGACGATTATATTCACAAAGAATCTCGAAAAATTCAAACAATGGATATCCCAAAAGAAACATGAAACAAATTTTCCTCATTTAACCTCAAGTTGAAAGAAAAAAAAAGAACGCAACTAGTAGAGCCTAAAAAGTGTCGATAAACAACAGTGAAAATCTTCGACGAACGAAAATACTGTACTTAAAAGACAAGGAAAATGGAGCATGCTTCAAATGCCCATTTCATGCTAGAAGAACCTGACAGTGCACAATGTGACTCTTCAACCCACTTCGTCCGGCTATACTCGACCATAAATTTGTGAAAAGATTCCGAGCATGCCCTTTAGCGAAAATATTTTCCCAAATATCCGGATTACTCTCCGTTCGTTTATCAGGTTTTGTGACGTTAACCATACTGATGCTTAAATTGTTACGCATGATGCAAAGCTTACCATTAAGAGGAACAAGAGCAGCAGCCTCCAAAGCACGCGAGTTGCCAAGGTGGAGCTTGCTATCTATAAATCTATTCCAAGACTTTGTTGCTTCGTCATATACTCGAAGCTTACACCCGTCCCGGCAGTCAAGAGCATAAAGCTTCCCATTCAAAGAGATACTCGGGTTGCGCCACCCAGCAATCATCCCATCATTGATCGGAGTCCATATATTGGCTTCTGGAATATAGGCTTCGCTCAATACCTCCCGGTGAGCTCCGAGTCCTTTTAAATACCATTTTCCGTCGTACACAACGCCAATAAATGGCACCATTCCTGTACTCATGTCAGCTACAAAACTCCAGCGATTTCTATTGGGATCGTAAACTTCAGCTGAACGAAGAGTTCTATGGATCCCATCACATTCTCCCCCGGCTACATAAAGACAGTTATTAATGACACAAGAACCAGAGAAATGCCGTTTACGAAGCATGTCCGGTGCCCTGTGCCATTTATTTGTTCGAGCGCTGTAAAATATTACCCGTCTCATAGATCCCTTTAATGGATCTTTTCCTCCAAATAAGTAGAGGAGGCAACCGCTAAGGACAGCACAACCAAATCCAATGGCTGAACTGTATTCCGCGGGAACAGGTGGGAGTGGCTGCCACAGTTGGTATATTGGGTCAAAGGCATGCCATGAAATCCGTCCATCGCGATCTCTTTTTACAACATACACCCACTCTTCGGCCATACTGAGACTCTTTCGGAGAGAATAAAAAAAGTTCCCAGAAAGCAAGTTGTACCATCTCTTGCAAACTAGACGAAGCTTATTATGTTCGACACGAGGGACACGGATTAGACAAGCAATTGCAAGATCGTCAGGAAGTCCAGGCAGGAGAGGTGGCTGCACTCTCCTCTCCCTACAGGAACTTCTTGTTTTATGTGCTCGAGGATTAATATCTGGTTGGATACAAAGCTTTGCTCCTGGGACAAATTTTCTTGCTCCAGCAACTGTTTTCAGACCTGATTCAACCTTGCAATAGCATGATACAGAATCAACCTGTAAAATATCCCAGGTTATGATATAAAGTTATACATACCCAGACTTTATGGAAGATTAATGACACGAAATACAGAGGCTACAAGCAACTAGACGATTCATCCATCGTTTTACTTCCTCTTACTCTATATAATTCCAGATCTTCGTATACCATGCTGTACACAGTTTTGGCCCGTAATTTATATCAAAAAGTTTAGGCAAAGCAGGAATCGTTTTATTATTAGTTGTTCATCATAATCAGTTAATGTCCTTGAGTAATTGAGTTGAAGATGGGATGTCAATCACATGCTGCCTACACGTCTGCTGCTAATAAAAATTTTCACCCAGCAATAAGCACAATAACCAATTTGGAGTTCATTCAAGAATTGTGCAATAATTAGTTCAAGAATTGCCAACACCTATTATTTGCTGTATGTTTCTCATTAACTTCAAACTCCACAACATAATTCTAGCAGGAAAATCAGGGTAATTCTAATGAATTCAATCAAACGGCACTAGGGAATTTCTTTTTGTAATCCAAGATCTGTTCTTTTGTCATGCATTTGGAACTTAGATCATAGAGTTTGCCTAATTAACACTTGTGGTCTCACCTAGTTTGTGTGCAAAACCTATATTCCTACTGAGTAACTGTGACATATAAGTTCATTCTTTTCTCTGTTTTCTTTCTTATTTTTAAGTTTTTAGTTCTATTTAGCTTAGTGCCTTTTTTCCTCCAAAAATATTAGCTATTAATCTTGTAACAACACCTATATTAGAACCCATGGCCTAACCGTGAGTAAAATGGCACTTCCTGTGCAAGAAAGTAGGCAGGGAGCCAGAACTTCACTATGTTATGGACTAAATCCTAATCCCTATTCTCGAGAGAAATAATAATTATTAAGCAATCACTTAACGAGCAAGCACACACAAGTTTATAATGTTTCACTCTTAAAATGAGAGCCAATTCCATTTGCTGCTACAGGTTTTCACTATATTGGAGAAGAAGTAAACGAATTTTCTTCACCCCTCTGTCAGTCAAAAATAGCCCCTCTTATTAGTCCTTTGTGCAGTAGGAATACTAAAGTGATCTAACGCGTATAGGAATGCCAATAGACTATATTAATAGAAATCACCTCGCATGTTACCATCCCCGTCCACCTTACTGCACGAAGGTTAGTCTTGGATCTAGGAAGTGTACATAGTATGATTAAGCTCCTCACAATCTGTCATGATGGGCATGAGGTAATTCAAATTTTGCAAAGAATAATTCAAGATGTGAAGTTCTCAAGAAACAGCCACACTTTGTTTAACACGATGTGTTGAAAAGAGAAGAATAAAGGAGCACATTTGGAGGGGCTGAAGTAGAAGCAAATAGAAAGAAACCAGAACTTATCGAAAGATTTAGAAAGAGAGTAAAAACTAAAACATGCCCATTAAAATAAACTGAGGTATCTACCGATGACTAATTTTTGTACAAAAAGGATGTGTTGACTAAATCTTAACACTTTAACAAGCAGAAACCAGGCCCATAGAAAATATCCAGTTAAACCAGACACACAACTGCGATTAGCGTCTTGCGCTTAAGCCTTACTAACAACGACAACTACTATACCTTATTTCAATAAATTTGGGGTCGAGTACATGATTCCCCATCTACTACTTCGTTCAATCCATAACTATATCTACTAGAAAATTCAATAGACTCTTTTTTCCATTGGTATCTTATCATTCATGTAAATGGTAGTTTTTTAAAGCTTACGCAAGATATGCTCCATTGAATGAGGCAAGTATAACCAATCAATAAAACTCAAATAAGGGACTGTCAAATTTTTAATTGGCTCTAAAAAGCCTACTGCATTCAATTTGAGTCGAAATAGTTTTGAAACACCGATGATGACCTCCCACCATCCCCATTCTCACTCCGCCACGACCTCACTTTGCTAATGTTAAGTGGCAGCCTACGCTACATATACAAGTTAACAATCGAAATAATTGCACTCATAACATTGTCCACAAAATCAAACCTACATCAAAGGAGGAATAGTAAATCCTTACGTCCCATTATAGACATATAGTATATGTTTGGCATTGGAAAAAACTGGACAATTTAATGAATAAGATTGTAGTGTCCTCTCTTCTTTAACACTGTCTAGTGGAATCTAATAATTCTTACCAAGTATGCTAATAATATCTTCCTATGGTAAATATACTGTATTTTATTCATCCAAAACAGATAAGAAAGAGACCATGTATGAAGACTCATCTCAACTAATAAAATTGCTTTGACAAGAGTAATGATATTGAGAGTTCAAACTTCAAAGTCAAAAAACAAAACAAAAACAAAATGATTACCATTAAAGATTGTACCTTCAACAGAACATTTACCCAGTATCTTCAAAAACTATGAAAATAGAAACCATAATTCAGAATTCAAGAAAAAATATGCAAAATAAATGCTCCTAAAACACCAAGAAATATTGCACAAAAACTGCACATTTATCAAAAAAAAAAATCATTTGGGCATCTCCAAAAGCTCATGAATTGAAGAAATTAACCGCTGAAAAAGGTCAAAGATCAGGCAAAACTCACTAGTGGAGCTTGAACTCTGAAACCCCTGTTTGCATATGAAGACCTCTCAATATTTTGCTCCATAAATATCAAGAATGTCTTATCATATACATATAAATCAAATTTGCACCTTTTCTTGAAACTCAGATCAAGAAACTCAAGCTAAAAATCTTGAAATCTAAAGGAAAAGAATAATTGGTTTAAATAAAAATATTTGAGTTCAAATATAGGGCAAAGTAAATTTTCAAGCCCCCATATGGAAACAAGAAACAGGTAGCAAAATTTTTTGTTACTGACATGTATATATACACACAGATACCAACAGTAGATTTGTTTGATTGTTTCTCTAATATAAATTTAAGGCTAAATGGCTATCACAAATTAGGGGTGTTTGATAGTCATTTTTATGTAAAAATATATTTTATAATAGTAAATTTATGTAAAATATGTGATTGAAAAATAAGGAAAATTTTTTGATTTACGTGTAATATTATTTTAATAAAAAATGTGTAGTTAAAAAAAAGAAAAAGAAAAATATATTTTGAAAAAAATGGCTACCAAACGGTATCTAGATAATTAATGCATTAAATTGTTTAATATAATTATGTAATCTGCGAAAAAGACAATTTCGAGTCTAGTTGCAGACAAGAAACCTCAATTTTTTCAATGTTTGCATTGATTAACTGGGCCCAGATGCGTGTGAAAGAGATAGAAGGGTATTCTTTTTTCATTTTATTTTTTTTGGGTCTAAAATTAATTAAATCTTTTTTAATATTGTGATTGTTATGAAATATGTTACAGTTAAATGTTTCTAGAATAACAATTATATTTATTGTAGAAGTTATAAATATTTTGTAAATCCATTTCTAAGTATTATGCATGTAAGTCGTAAATTATTCCTATTTCTTGTGTTTGTTGCTTCTAGGCCGTTAGTGTTTTAATGTTTGTTGTAACGGTATTATCGAACTTTCTACTAAATTATCATTAGCTTATTTTTTAATTATTTAAAAAATATTACTCAGCCCTGTTTGTCATCGATTTTCTCTCATTCTTTTCCATTATTTTTTCCATAATATTCATTTTTAACCACATATTCTTCATTAAAATAATTTTACACGTAAACAAAAAAAATTTCCTTTTTTTTTAACCGCATATTTTAACATTAATCACTATTTCATAATACATTCTTTCCAAATAATGGGTGACAAAAACTCCCTCGTATTGCAATATTTGTAATAAGATATTAGGTTGATATGTCAAATCAAACGGGGTAAAAGAATAGTATTTAGATTTATAATGGGGGATAGTGTTTTTTGGAAAAATGAATGGTTATAAAAGAATGAAAAGTTTTTGATTTACGTGAAATATTATTTTATTATAGATTGTGTAATTGAAAATATGAAAAATAAAATTTTAAATTAAATTGATGGATTTTAAAGGAGGCCAAACGGGGGTTGTCCATTGGAAAACCTTTTTGTTTGCACAACAGTATTGTAGGGACCAATTTACATATCTTAATAAATAATTATGCCGGCAAATAATCTTTGTTTTGTTATTTAATTACTTTATTATGAAAATCATTACACTTAATTTAAATATAAATTTATTATATTTTAGTTGCTTACATAAAAAAAAAAAAAAAATGCTACATTACATCATTGTAATTATTGATATCAATTACACATTTTTGGTCAATCTCGTCCATCCGCATAAGGGATAATTGTTTACAAATAGATCATAATTTATGTACCAAAACTAGAGTACAATACACATAGTCATACATTTTTTTTGTCGATAGCCTTGACCAATTAATTGAATATTGATAATACGTATTTGATAAACACTTTTCAATAACATCACAACGTATTAACAGTACCAACGAGACCCGGGAAGGAAATTGGATTATGAATTAGAAAAATTTGCAGCCTCTTGAATTGACTATCATCTTCTCGATATATCAAATTTTGTGATAAGATGAGTCTACTTCAAAATAAAGGTGAATAAAGTACATGCAACTAATGAAAGTTGCAGATTATAAAGAGAAAAAAAATAGAATGCATATTGAGAGTAAACATATTTTGTACTTTTCATATAGTGATATTACAAATACCATTTTTGTTTAATGGAAACTATTCATTAGTGAAAAAAAAGGTTAAACCCTAACCTTAAGGGTCCCCCATCACCCTTACCCTGGAGAATCGTGAGGGAGGTAAATCGCAGGTTATGCCTCCAAGGGTACAGGGTGGAAGGCTGCTTGTACACTTGCATTTAGCCAAGAGCCAAATCCATATTTCAGGATTCGAACCCTTGACGCAGCAGCCTCAAGCAAAATTGAATTTCTCCACCCTCCCCTTTTACCACTTGGAGATGTGCCCTGGGGGCAAACTATTCATTAGTGATTAATATAGTAGAAGGTCAAAGAAATCCTTTGCTTTCATAGTATTATGTGGTGTGTTAAGAAAATATTGTACCCATGGTCCCTAATTTAATCTTAAATTTGTATTTAGGTCAATTTAGTTTTTTTCGACAAACAATCTTTTAACTTTAAGCTTTTGTACCAAGTAGATCACCATAGATAACTCCATCCAATATTGCCATGACAAGTTCCATCAAAGACAATATGCAAATAACTAAATATCTCGTTTCTATATCAATTCACACTTTTAGGCAAAATGATTTAATATGATACTGGAGCTCCTAAAAAGACGAGTTCAAGTATGTTACTACACATTTATATAAAAAACTATGGTGTTAGCCCGTAAACGAATTTAGTTTGTTTGTCAAGGGGACATATTAAAAACATATACATAAAGTAATAAAAATGACATAATTATAACATATTCAAGATAAAAATAAAAATAAAAATAGAAATAACTAGAACATTGCTCCGCTGTACTCTTCTTTTCAAGTCAAATATGCATGCAATATAAAATATTTCGTATCAACAAAACACATAAAATATAAATCAATAATGTTAAAATCACGTGCAATACACGCATTTCGAACTAGTTTATTAAAAGTACAATCAATTATAGTTAACTGAAGTAGATTAGCAGCTGATTTAAGACATGACATCAAGTTTTAGGACTCTTATAATTATATGATGTGAGTTCTTGTACCCACGACATAAATTATTGCATCTTAACAATTTTCTTCCCTTATCTTCTTTTGGAGTCAATTATTATTTTATTTAAAAAACTAAATTATATAGTATACACCACACAAAATGACCCCCCTTTTTGGGGAAATCAAAATGATTTTAATTATAAATCCTAGAAGATGCATATAATTTCAAAGACACTATACAATCCCGTAAAAGTATTGACTATCGACTAATAGATCAAAATGAAGAAAATAGATTTAAGTAGTTAAACCAATGCTCATTTGCTAGGCTTTTACTTACTATACAAGAATTGTACGAAAAAAGCTCTTTTAATCCAGCAAAGCACTTATAAAAAATTATCCAAGCAAGTTCAAAAACTTCTTAACATCAAAAACAACTTTTGACTTTTCAAAAACTTTGCCAAAACAGACCCTTCAATCTCATTAAAAATAAAACTTAATCTGATGTTGATACCTACACCTCAAATTCATGGGTCAAAAAGATAACAATATAATTGCAAGATTTTCCACAACTGAACATTCATACTCAGCAAACTTAAACAGATTCTCTGTAACTAATCCACTGGAAAATTGTTAATTGTATACTGAAATGACCTATTGCAAAATAACAATTAAGTTAAGATAGAAAATAGGCAATTACACATGTACAAGTCAAGATGATATATTATAAATATTGTACGATTTGGATCCATTCAACTGGGGATAAACTAAGCTCTTGACTTTTCATCCATCTCCAAAATATAAGAAAAAAAAAATTAAGGAGAAAATGAATACCATGAAGAATCTTTACCCTAATTCTAGAATATCACAATTTACAACAGCACCACAAGATAACAATCTGCAAAAGAAATTACATCCAAAAACCAGTGAGATGTACAACTAGAATGCCCTTCAATACATTCCACAAAGACAAAGGTTATTTCGCCTACGCTCGTCAGCATTTTCACATCTCAAATCATATAACCACTGCAATATCTAACCCCCACCAAACCCACCTCAGATTGAATGACTTTTTCAAGTACAGCCGAACAACTTCAATACGAATAAAGGAATTGGAAAGGTTTGATTACCTCGAGCTAAAAAACGACAAGTTTGCTAACATGACCAATATTTGCAGTAGTCAGGTATGAAAATGTAAGGTTGTTAGTCCCATGCACTAGTCATGACAGGGCCATAAGCTTCACCATATGCATTGGAAACATCATTAAAAGTTACACAATTCAACCCAAACTACACCTGAAGGGGGGGGGGGGGGGTTGAATAGGTGTTTGCACGGAATTTAAGCAAATTCAATAAACAATTGCAACAAGTTACAATTATTAATTAGTCCAATCCAATTCACATGCAATCTACCCTATGTTTATTACCATAGTATAATAAGTTGTTGGAAGTAAAGAACACAGAAAATTTTATGACAGAGAAACCCCAACTGGGTAAAATCTCTGATCATAAGCCAGTATGCATCCACTATAAACGGACACAACTTATACAGTATAGCCAAGCTCGAACAACACAAGTACTTTCCGACCTCATGTACTACAATTCCCAAAGTCCTCTTGGATTGCGTGCACCTGCACCAACTATAGACTTTTGATCTCGTCTATCTCCTATGGATTCTTCGAGAACTCTTTGGTCTCCAACAACCAGAACTCCGTTCCCCTTCTTTGATCTTTCACCTCTGCCAGATTCTCTAAAAGTTTTTGGTTTTGGTGTTTGAATTTCCAGTATTAATGTTTTTCTATCACCAAAATCAATGGAGGATGGATTGTATGTTTTTGAAGAGTGCAAGTGTGTTTTTACAATGAGTAATCCCAGTTTTTTTGTGAAACGACGCAGGTATTTTATGTGAGGGACGTTTTGGGTAGTTTGGACTTGTTAAAACTCTTGAAAATCGCAAAGTAGGTTTTACGAGAAACACTAGCACTCGAGCGACCGTCCAACGAATAGCTAGCAATGGCCTTTCGCTCGAGCGAGGCCTTGGCAAAAAGCTAGAGACATCCATTCTGTTTTTGCTGCTCGAGTAGTGTATTGGCGAGAAGCAGGCAAAAATGTTGCGATTCTTCTTTCCTTGTTTCGAAGTTTAACCCTAACCTACCAACCACTTTTACAGAATTGCACCAAACTCCTCAACTTTTACACTTTTTCACTTTGACCCTTTTTGTTCACGGAATTGCTAATTACAATTAAACCTAACAGTCATAACTATAGTTGACATTGCGGTTACCATAGTAGTTTCATACCGCCTTTATTCAAAGATTCATCTCTTCGAAAATCACGACCGCCATATCGTCTTCCCCTATGACGAATTTTCCGATAGGAAGATTGATTTGAGCTACAAATTGAGATAGCCAAGCAAGTCCTGATTTGCTTCTTGCATCGAATCGGCTAATGCCCTAGCTAACGAGGCATTACTCTCTTTAAAGAAGGCAGTTGCCAATAGGGGTGGCGTGGGGGACGGTTCAGTTCGGTTATCTTTAGAACCGAACCGAACCAAAATTTTCGGGTATTTAGTAAATGGAACCGTCGGGTCCAAATATAATTATAGAACCGTTCGGGTTCGGTTCTATACTATAATTAAATTTTTTAACATTTATAACAACATTATATAAATACAACTAATGATACATTCAATGATTTTGGAATGTCATAGACTAATAGACTACCTTATTCAAATGATCGCTACGGTCAAAGTTTCGGTCGGCAGAGGTCGCAGCTTCAATCGGAGGTCACAGCATTAGCCGACGATTGTATAGGTTTTGGAATGTCAGCGAGACTAGGAGAGTGAGTGCGAGAGTCGAGACAACGTTATGCACTTTAGTGTAGGTGTTTAGAGTTATTTAGTGGATTGGATCTTGTTGAGTTAAGAAATGAAACAATAAAATGGGTAATGTGGCCAAAAATTAAAAAATTAGAAATGAAACAAATTATTGGGCCAAAAATTTAGATTTAGAAATTGTTAATTTATTAATTTGTTTAGAAAAAATTAAAATTAAAATATTTTGATTTTTCAATATAAAAAAAATTAGAAAGATTCGATTCTTATTCGATTTTTCGGTTATTGGTCTAGAACCGAGAACCGAACCGTACCCGTCAATTCTCAATTCAGATACTCGTTCGGGTATTTAATTTGACAAGAATCCTCGGGTTCGGGTTCGGGTTCGGGTTCGGTCGGTTCGGATCGGAAGATTTGCCCAGCCCTAATTGCCAACCTTGTTTTACCAGCACGACCAGTGCGTTTTATACAATGGATGTAATTGTCAATGTCATTAGGAAGATCAAACTTCACAACGGGTGCAACATGGGGATATCAAGACCGTGAGCTGCCACATCTGTTGCGACCAAAATTGGAGTTTTCCACTTCCGAATGATCTCAAAACATGTTCTCGCTCCTACATCCATTCCATGTAAACCAAAAGACTTGTATTAAAAATTGTAGTGTGAAATCACTTATAAAACAGGAAAAAATAATTTGAATATACTCGATGTACTAGGGAACCAAAAAAATGGAGGCGAAAGAACTAGGAAAAGGAAGCAAGAGAAAGGAGGAGGAAGTAACCTTAAAAGCTCACAGCATAAAACCCCAAGGAAAAACTGTTAAATAAGCTTTGCTATGGGAGACATGCGACAATTTGGCCAAAAATTATTTAATAATTTAAAATAATACCTATCAAACATCTAAAATAAATTTATAGGAATTTTATACATTTTTTCAAACTTTCAAATAAAAGGATAAGTTTCAAATGTAAATACTAAATGAAAAAATAGATAGAAATTTTTGAAAGTTTTCCTTTGCTCAAAGCTTCAGGCGGTCGTTTTGAATCTAAGACATATGAAGGAAGGAATCAGCCTTTAAGCTTTAACTTGAAAGAATTGTTAAAAAAAATAATAATAATAAAATAAAAATAATGATAATAAAATTAAAGATAATAATGTGGCGTTTCTGTGGCGATGCCTTGGCGCCGCCTACACTTTTTAGAACATTGCTCCCATATGCAAATTTATTTTTAGACTTTAATTTAAAATCCTATTTTAAAATTGAGAAAAAAATTCAATTAAAAGATATTAATTACAATAGTTCAAGTTTGAAAAGTGTATATAAATGAATTTTAAATTATAATTAGATAAAAAATAAGTGTTCAATAAGTGAATAATACTTGTAAGATCTCTCAAAATGTATGAATAAAAAGTAACATGAATGTTTAAAAATTGAAGCCAAACGTCTTAATATCATAAGATATTTCTCAACAAATCTATTTAGGTATGGAGTAATTCACATCACTTTAATATGGGAGAGACTGACTTTCCAGCATCCAATGTGCCCATTTAGTACAATTAATGTTTTCGTAAAATCACAATAGTATTACATTTAGCACTCAACATCACGTTGTAATAAGCAAGAAAAATTATAAATTCTGTGTCTATTCTTTGATCCTTGTAAAAAAGTGTAGACGGTTCAATGATCGTGGTAGGCTTCATACTGAATGAATAGCATTGCATCATCTAAATTTTTCTTGCACCTGTAGAGAAAATCAAGGCATGAGTCAATCGCTGTCATTCTTTTATCAAGTTCAGCTTCCTTAAAACTCTATCAGACGCCCAAAAAAAGTAGCAGCACTGTATATCAAACTGAATCCTGTGCTCCAGCATTTAGAGCAACAAAATGGTATGTGAAGCATGGAAGCCGGAAAACATAAAGTACTTTTTTGAAACACATTGTTGAACACGACTAGAGATCATAGTAAACAACATCTTTTAACTTATATCTAATATTTTAGGCCAGTTTGGCAAGGCTTTTGAAAAGTCAAAAGCTACTTTTGAGACGAAAAAATTGCTTTTTAATCTATTTAAATAATTTTCTGGAAACGCTTTATCTGGTTACAAAAATTTTTAGAGTAAGCTTTTCTACAAGAAGCAGAAACCCTGCCAAACGGGTTCTTAATATAGTTCAATACTATCCATTCTACCCGAGAAAAGAAACTAGACATGTAAATTCGACACAAATGAATGGATCCATGGAGGAGACGATGCTCTCTCTAGTTCAATATTAGGAGCTTTTATGTCTTGTACAGGTTTTGTGATGCCTGAACTTAGAGCATATACTAGGAAAAAGACTACATCCTGGTTTCTTTAGTCTAGAAGCTTCTACGAATGATATCACTACTTACTGCCATGTCTCAAATGCATACCTCAAATATTCTTCCAATTCTTTACGCAAAAAAATAAAAATAAAAATTTGATCAGACAATTATGTCAAACCTGAATGCAGAAGAAACACAAGATAGTAATCAGAATTAAAGTCAAATCAATTTTAAGATTCTGACAGACTATCTATAAAATGAACTTCCTGGGATACCCTTCTTGATACAAACAACATAGGTTTCTCATTATACGATGCCCAACTTGAGATGTGTTGGCTGTGGAAGGGCTCACATCTGATCAGAGACCTTACAATTTCTTTCCTCCCCGAACCCCCATCGAGGAAAGGAAAAATAGAAGTGCAGCTTTATTTGTATTCAACATGTCATCTAAAAGCTCGAGTTATTAAATAGGGAACACATAATTGTATCTAAATTTAGTTTTCATCATACTCGTTCACATTCAGATCTGATTAATCTTTAATTAAAAGTCCAGCATATGCACACTTTTCATTAATGGGTGACCGCTTACCGCAAGACTTGAATTCAAGTATACTCTAGCACTTTGTTTAACCACATCATATACACTGTTAGAGAGGGGACACACTTATTTTAATTTAATCTTCAACTTAATCATATACATTCACATTTCATCTTCTTTCCTATAACTAAACTTGTGTTTTCCAACTATGGGTAAGGTGGATTAAATATTATAAATAACTAGAACAAGCTCCTCCCGATGGGTTTCTTTTGAAAGAGTCAATTTCTTCTTTTCCATGTTGACATAGCATAAGAGTAAAATAAAGTGTTTAGATTATTGAACACCTGAAACAATAAAATGAGAGAAGTTTTTAACTCAAAATATCTACAACAAACAAGACCATAGGATTTATAAAAAGTAAATAGCCTATATTCAAACTACAAACTAGTCGAAAGACAACCTATCTTATTCTTCTCCCGTTTGTTACTCCTATGACAAGGAATTTCATTACCTTAGGACAGCTAAAGTTATTGCCACTGCTTACCAGGTTTCCATTCAAAGCAGCTAACACTTCTCCTTTTGACCTTCTAGCACAGGGTAGGTGTCAGTAACTCTAACTGTTGTAAGGTAGCGAAATTCCTTGTTGCACCGTAAAGGACAGCATCCCATGTCCAATAGCATTATCCACCAGAACATCGATCGCCAAAAGAGGAAAATCATCTTTTGGACTTTCCTTGTTTAGACTTGGACTCACGGAATGCACATGATTTTGTAGGAGTTGTGCTGTGAGTATTATAGATATTTACCATGTCAAGCAACCTTCAGTCATATGATTTCACCATTGACATAATAATACATCTGGAGAAGAAGACCCGAAACGATAATATTAATTTCTAAACTGCCCTCAATTTTTGGATTCAAAATTACAGCTACATTTCCATTACTTTCAAGATATGCACCGGTTTCGATACATTTTTGAGAATTTAAGACCTCATTAAATCCATGGAGTCGATACGCAATACACTTAATAATAGTATCAATGTTTGAAAATCAAGATCTTGTTGAATAAGTCTGCTAATGAATGGTGGAAGTAGTACCTTCACTAATCCTCTACTAACTCAATAACTCGAAACTCCTAACCCCACTTGGCTTTTTAAAAAAATTATAGAAAATGTAAAATCATGTATCCAAGTCAGTTCATGACAATTGCCAACTCATGATCTATAACAAAATCATCCCAACAAAATTGATCAAATAATTAACAAATTAAGCAGGAATATGATCATCTTAGCCAGTTGATTGTTCGAGTGTGTGGAATTTAATCATACATTACTCTTATCCCCTCTTCTGTGAATCCACCTGAGCAATAAGGTCAAAGAGGTTGGTAGGCCCCAATTCTTTAGGGTTTTGTAGTCATAGCTCTCGAGACTAATCTTTTATTCAGAAGTATATTGGACATCCAAAATTGTATTAGAACCGCGCACTTTATAATTGTTTGCCTCAATCACTCACTATGTAATCTCACCCCTCTCAGTCTGTGTTTGCAAAACGACACATTAAAAGATTAGGACAACTTAGTAAAAGTATAAACACATGAATCCAAAATACAAAAATAACTCGTGAACACAATCCATAATCCAAAACCATGAAAAATTAACCAGAAATATCAGCAGACAATTAAATTATTCAACCTGATAACATTATCAATCCAAGAACTTTTTCAAATCCAATCATCAAACAAAAAAGCATTTGTTTATGTACGCAATCACACATTGTAAGCCCTAAAGACTCAATTCTTAAGCCAATTCAAGAATAAAGACTGCAACTTTTACCTCAACTCAAATCGATGCTTCCAGATAAGAGAAAGAATCTTGAATCCCTTTAACCTTGCAAGTTGGGATAGTCTCAAATTCGTCCGCCGGCAGTTTCTGCGAAAGAGCACCCACATAAAATTCAATCATCCCATTCTCTTCGTCAACATCAATCCCAGTAACAGAAACCCATAAGAAGAATTTCTTAGCCTGAATCCCAGAAACTTCAGAAACTTTCCCAAATCCCAGTTTCCCTTTAATGATTCTATCATAGTACACAGATTGACCATTGAAATTAACATAACATGGGTGTGAACTGAGCTCAATGGTGAAGGAACTGTCAACGGTGGAGAGAGTATAGGACTTGATGTTTTGTGGGAGAAGACCCTTTGGGAGATTGTATAATGGGAGGAGGTCATGGACATCTGTGGCTGAAAAAGAGATGACGGTTAGAGAGAGAACGCAGAGACAGAAAATTGCTAGCTTTTCCATTGATAATACACTGGAAGATGTATGTATGTATATCTGTTTATATAGTAGGAACTAGGAAGAGAGGTAGAGTCAATGATTGGTGAGCTAATAGACGTAGAGAATACTAATGGTTATTGGTTAGTAGTTGGTATGGTGGTATGGTGTCTTCTTTTGGTTCAGACATGATTGCACTACGGGTCCCCAATTTATTGCTCGTTATTAAGTAAGTCATTAACATTTAAAGAGGAGTACAAGTTTGTTCAGAAAAGACGAGAGACTTTATTCATTTTGCAGTATTTGCGACATATTTACATTTTTATTGAAAATTTAAAGATTTACTTGCTTCATTTTTGAAGATGGGGACCAACTTACAAATGAATGAGGCAATACATTGGAGTCCAACAATGAAATTTTTCTTTGATTTGTGATACAGTTATCTCCGTTTGGGGAGTATTAGTAGAGATGAAATAGAACACAAAGTAGTATATTTAGGGGGTATTTCATAGGATTTCAAGTCTAATAAAAATAATTTATTATATTCATACCATATTTTAATTACAACAAAAATTCTCCATTTTTTTTGTCTCATTTTTACACTTGTAACTCCATTTTTTTTTCATCATGCATATTCTTACTTTAAACCTTCAATTAATTTAACTTTATTCTATCAATACGCAGACTCAGCCCCGTTTGGCACTCATTTCATTGCATTTCATTTTTTTCTCTCCTATTTTCAAACATATAATCTTTCATAAAATAATTTACACGTAAGTCGAAATTCTTTCATTCTTTTTCAACCACTTATTTAAAATAAAAATAAAAAACACTATTCCATCTATTTTCATTTCCAAAAAAATAGAGGCCAAACGGGGACTGACTAGCATGATAGCACTCCTGTACCATTCGACTCATTGGGTTCTCAGGTTAGATCCGGACTTCCCTCTGTTCCTCGTACATATTTACCATGCACTACTCGGTAATAAGCATCGGGATATCATCCATAGGAGACTGGAGCTGTTTGCAAAAAGAAAATTATCATAATTACAGGGAGAACTAACAAAGAATTAACTGCATGACAAAATCAGCAAATTCAGATAGCAAGGAGAGCCGGACCAATGTTATAATTATGGGAAGGCAGGTTATTTTTGTTAAAATTACAAAATACAGTGGCTGACATGGATAAAAGACCCAGTCGAGTTACTCAGCTCAGTCTTGGTTAGAAGTGAATCGCCTTTATAATATCAACAATATAATGAATCTCGAGCACAACTAACGTTCAAAAGAAGCAGGCATCTAATGATCCACTCAAGTCTTTCAATTTTATGGTCACATATCAGATCATGTGGCACTTAAGTACACTGTTTGTCTCTTTGGACTATGTCGCCCTAAATTCCTCCACTGTATAAAGGAGTGTCAGGGGATTTTTTTTTTTTTTTTGGTGCAGAGTGAAAGACAAAAATATTCGGAAGAGTAAGATCTGCATGTATACTTCTCAAATTTAACCCCTTGTTTGGCCCCCACTAAATTAAATTTCATTTTTCTTCCTCTTATTTTCAATCACACAATCTTCCATAAAATAATATTACACGTAAGCCGAAAACTTTTTCTTTCTTTTCAACCATTCATTCTCCAAAAAATACTATTACACCCATTTTAATTTGAAAAAATGGAGGCCAAACAGGGGCTTAGTGAAAATCAGCAACAGTGAGTTTAAGTCCCTGTTTTAGCCACCATTTCTTAAAATTCATCTTCAAACTTATTTTCAACCACACATTTCATGACACTCACAACTTTTATCAAAATATACTAAAAATCTAATTTTTATAAAAATTGAACAGAGGCTAAGTATCTCTCACATTGACAACGACCATTATATATCTACGTGTGTCTGTTTTTACTTCCTCCAATATAGCAACATCATTGAGATTAGAAATTATTCCAAATTAATACTCAGCACCCAGAAGATACCAAGTTTGGGGACTACACCGAGAATAGTCTACAAGTCCAAAATGCATGCGTTTGTTTTTTACCCTCTTTTGAATCTCTAACAAGTAACAATTATATGGTTAGGAACAGCAGCATTCGAACATCTTCAAAGAAGTCTAGCCCTTCATTTTATTTTATTTTATTTATTTATTTTTTCTTTTTGGGGGTGGGGGTTGAATTATTTGCTTTTATGACCTTTTCCTTTTCTGGCCTTGTGATCCTATATTATCAACTCTGATCAACATATTTACATGAATGATAGAAGAAAAAACAAGATGACAAATTAGACATTTTAGTGGTCTCACAAAACATAACCCTCCGATAGTGTCATCTAGTCGTCATACGAAACACAACCATCAAATATTATAGTGCAAAAATGCAGAAACTAGTGTTATTGCAAAGTAACAACCCAGCCATGTAGCAGTTCAATGATATTATTCATACGACAAAATCACCATTTGGTATGGTTTGGACTCCTAAAAGGAAATCACCATAAAGTCGTACAGTTAAAAAACCTATTAGATTCCATTTGATGATTAAGTTCTCTTTTGCATACCGAATTAGCTCTATACTATTTTTTGTCAATAGAATTGTAACAGAAGTTGAAACTCATTACATACGGTCAAGTCGGGAATATTAAATATATTGCCAATCATGGATATTGCAGAAATTTATTTTCTATAAACATGTATTCTCCCTATTTGTGAAGTCTGTATCATTATGCATAGAGAAAAAGGATTAATTCAAGCCTACAATTTAAAAGTTTTCCATTATGTTTCTGGAACACGGACCAGATTCTACTCATTTTTGTTCTTCAAGGGAAAAAGTTCAAATCATTTGCTTAGAGTTCAAAACCAGGAGGCTCTATAGACATATAGAAGCATGCACATGATAGTAATCTTCTTTGGCCAAAAGATGAGTTTTCAGTGGAGCAAGTCACTCAACTTTGAAGCCATGCAAAGTAATAACATCAAACGCACACCAACAAAAACAATATTTCTAAAAATCTGTTGGTGTCCACAGAGAGAAGGCTAAACCATTTAGGCATTTGACCAACATCTTAGGCGAACCTAAGAATGACACTATTGCCCCCCAACAATCTTTCCCTCAACATGAAGCTCTTGTGGCTCAATCCAATGACCATGACTCTGATATCACTGATAAGATCGGACTTCATCTTACATAAAACCAATTAGGTTCGACTACACCACTTAAGTGACCCAACCTATTGACTTAAGTGAGACATTGATCCTCTCCAACAAAATCAATGAGAATTCGGTTCTAATAATGATAAATCATATGCATTACACAAAAATGATGAATTTCCATCGAAACGGGCATTTTCCTATTTATTTATGCATCACATTTTATTTATGTTTGAGGCATGAATTTCATTATGTGTTGCGCATACGCCTTCAATTCATGCCCGTGATTTCATGTGTTGTGTGTTAATGATCATCTTATATTATTTGATGTGATACACATTTTTTATGAATAAGGATGGGATATAAATGGTTCATTTCCATTGTTGGGTGGTTGTTGTTGTTGTTGACTCAGTTTATGATTGGTTTTCATTAAAATACATGTGCCCGCTGCCTGGACACGATAGTGTAGAAATTTACAAAATTTGGAGTCTTGAGAAAATATAGAAGCATAATGATAATGATGATTTAGAGGATTTTCATTTTGATTAATGAGATGTAGTCGTGCCTCTTTGTTAAGATTTGACTTTTTGCATATTGATGGAAAATTATTATAGTAGCTGATAATGGAATAAATAAATAAATAAAATAAAAATAAAAATTTCAGCGCCATCTAAACTTTTGAAATGTGCAAGTACATTATAGCCCAAGTCTTGTACATGTTTATGGGATGGAAAAAGGAAGGGGGTTGTTGGTCATTTAAGATTGATTAATTAATTGGGAAGGATACTTCTGACCATTTAGCTCCCACATACTAACTTATCATATCTAAAACATATCGCAAATCATCTCAAACCTACATTCAGCCCGTAATCACCCCCAAACCCAGAGCCAACACACACATGCACAACCTCAACCAAATCCTTATTTTCCTTCTGTTTATCTTTCACATCTCTACTTACCTGCATCCTAATTCCAACATCATCGCAAGACAAAGGAGGTTCGACTCTAGCATTTGGAAGTTGTTAAAATTTTTTTTTTTCCAGCAACCTTGGTAGAGATAAATCTTTTATTTGACCAAGGTTCTTTTGTTAATAAATTCTAATGGCGTACGAACTAAATAGTACACAAATTGAAGGATTTTAACCAACAAATCTGGGTTATAACAAAAGTTTGATTTTTTTTTTTTCCTTTTTCATTTTTCCCCCAAAATAGAAAGGGGGGAATTCGTATGAAATGGAAGAAAAGTTCATTAGTTGGATGTTTTGGGCTTTATCCTTATTGCTTGGATGTTTAAGTGGCCTGATGATTTGACTAAATATATAAATAATGGTTGAGGGTTTCTTTGATGATTGAGAAGATTTCTAAAATAGAGAGAGACTTTTTTCCAGAGTGAAAAGGAAAAATCACAAATTGAAAAGTAAAAATATTTTTCATTTCTTCAGGAACGATCACAAACACTTTTTTAATTATATATAGATCTACTACCAAAAGTTCAATGCGTAATTTTAGCATTAAATATGTATTCCGGAATAATCCCCTTTTTCAATTATTCAACGATTTCATTTTACCAAGTTCACTGTTAGCCATATTAGTCAACATTTATATGTTTTGATGCAACAGTAAGATGTTATTTATAAAAGAAGTTTTGTTTGTTAGTTAATTGGTTAGTGATACTATTTCAAAAATTATATTCTGATTGACTTGTAAAAATTCAAAGTCATGCATAGCCAAACATAATAACCTATGCACAAAAGGGGAAACTTGACTTAATTACTTAAAAGTGACTCATTTCGAAAATCTTGGCCCTTGGATATCTGGGCATACATTAATTTTGTTGATTCAGGGTTTTACTTAGAGGGTGTTGGCGGGGATTAAAATTAGATTTTTTAGAAGATTGTGATAGAAGGTTTTGAAATGCGTGGTTGAAAAGTTGTGGAACCCGTGCAATATGTGGTTAATATTGATTATTTGATTTTGACTTAAATTAAAATCAGATTTTAATCTGCACCAAACGGACTCTTAATTAGGGCATCAAGAACCATTGCACTTGTAGCATTTCATTATGTTACCAGTTTAGAGGTAAGTAAAGATTCGTTGCCATACAAAGCAAGACATTGTACAATATGAGAGATATTGAGCTATTGTGTATGCTTTCCATAGCATGTAGACATGTTTAATCATTAATATATTTTTTTATTTGGATTGTTTGTATTATGCATTATAATGTATGACTAGCATCCATCAATTTAGCTTATGTAATGCCATAAAAATGATGTGGCATATTAACCCCCATTTTGGGTGGAAATTTGTATTTTGGAATAGTATTTTTTGAGAATATGGGTTTAAAAAATAAGAAAAAGTTTCTGATTTACGTGTAAAATCATTTTATTAGAAAATGTGTGGTTGAAAATGAGTTTTGAAAAAAATGAGTTTTAGTAAAAATGAAGAATCAAACAAGGCTAAAAAAGAAACACCATGTGTCCTGCTGAAGATAAGGCCGAGGCAAATGCTGTAAATCTAGATTTAATAGATTCAAATACCAAATTTTGAATTCCAAATCAACTTATACAAAACCCAAATTCAATTGGATGCAAATTTCAATACTAAACAAGTAAATGACACAAATAGTACAAGCGGACCTTTTTCTTTTAACAAATTAAGAAAAGAGCCAAGGCAGCCCACAACGCCAACCAAACCACCCAAAGGACAACACCATATTCAGCACAGAAACGATAATAAGCCCAGAAAGTCACCAATTGGGGAGATCCCAACAATCAAAAAGAGCAGAACAAGAGAAATAAGAGAAAATGACCACCAGCTTAATGGTAAAGCAAATTCTCCAAACACAAAGCACCCAACAGGCGACTAATTGGTGGCCAAGCAACTTAACCCCAAGATAAAACACACATCGTGGGCAGCTAGAAATGAGGCAGGAAGTGGCATCAGTAACTGAATAGTAAACCTACTTCAACCTTGTTGCCACCACCATCTTCGACCGCCTAACCAAATAAAATGCAACAATTCCACAAGATCATAATCAAAGCCCAAAAGAAGTCATTGCAAAATAAAGCGCCATCACAGATAGAAAAAAACAGCAGCCAAAACCAAGAAAAGAAAGACTAAACAAAGCGCACCAAATAAATTGAAGAATCCAACTCCAGCCTCCTCCTAACAGTAATGCTTAAAAGCCTAGAGGATTTCACAATCAACATAACCCACCAATTCCACCTAAAAACCCTTTCATCATGGATTTCCAAACAAAGCAATTCCCAATCAATATTTCCACCAATATTATCAAACATTAGCAGCGACCTTGGCATCAAATTCCCAAATTAGCTGAACAGTGAATAACTATAGACATAAATTTTGATCCTCTAAGGCTATCTCCAGTGTTGCATCAAAATTTGCACCAAATATTATACCAAACCAAAATTCTTCTCAAACCATTACATCAAAACTTACGCCAAATGAACAGTGTTTTATTATTTTATTCATTCGTTCAATTTTTGACAATGTATTTATTTAAAAAAATTATTTATTTTATAACTATATAAATTACTAAATTATAACTTCATTAAATTAACAAATATATTGATTACTAAATTATTCACGTGTTTTTATATATTATGTTAAATTGACAAAAATAATTGATTATATTATTAATTTATGATAAACAATTACGTTAAATTTACAAAGATAATAAATTTTAATAATATAAACTTTACGTTAAATTAAACTTTAAACGTAAACTTTACGAATTAAACTTTACGTTAAATTAAAAATTATGTTAATTATTATTGATTATATTATTAAAAATAATAAACTTTAATAATATAATTAATAGTGTAATTAATTATTATTATTATTATTATAGAACGAAAATGACACAAGTATCCTTAACCATTATCTTTGAAAAATTAAAAATAAGGGCAAAACGGACATTACACCATTAGGTGCAAAAAATGGTGTAATGAATAGAAACTGTTCATGTTGCACCATTTTGCACCAAAATTTGGTGCAATGGTTGGAGGAAGTTTGCACCAAATTTTGGTGCAATAGGGCATATCATTGCACCATTTTTTGGTGTAAAGTTGCTTCAATGCAACACCAAATTTTGCACCATTTTGGTGCAAAATAATGTAAAGTGAATAGTGTTGCACCATATTTGGTGCAACACTATTCATTAAACCCTTTTTTGCACCAAAATGTGCAATGTCCGTTTTGCCCTTATTTTTCATTTTTTAAAGATAATAGTTAAGGGTATTTGTGTCATTTTCGTTCTATAATGATAATGATTATGATGATGATGATGATAACAAAAATAATAATTAATTATACTATTAATTATATTATTAAAGTTTATTATTTTTAATAATATAATCAATAATAATTAACGTAATTGTTAATTTAACGTGAAGTTTATATTATTAAAGTTTATTATTTTTGTAAATTTAATGAAATTGTTTATCAACAATTAATAATATAATCAATTATTTTTGTCAATTTAACATAATATATAAAATACGTGAATAATTTAGTAATTTATATAGTTATAAAATAAACAAATAATTTTTTTAAATAAATACATTGACAAAAATCGAAAGAATGAATAAAATAATAAATCACTATTCATTTGGTGTAATGGTTGGAGAAGAATTTTGATTTGGTGCAAAATTTGATGTAAAATGGTGCAAATTTTGGTACAGCGCTGGAGATGGCGTTATCCAAGAATGTTTATGCTGCAAACCCCTCATTTGCAGACCAATCTTTAGGAAATTTACCTTCTATGTTTAGAGACAAATGCTTCTCAAAATTATTTTAGAAACGAAACTGAAATCCTACGTACAAACTACACGAATTTTGAACTTCCACATGAAATATCTTACTAAATGAACAGACCTCAGACATTCAACCGGGACAGATGAATATGAAAATAATGCTCAAGACAAAATTCAGACAAATAAACTTATGCCCCTTCTGACCGCTTAAAGCTTAAACGTTTAAGTAAGCTGATTGGTCATCCTACTAGAATATAGGACTGATTGTGCTACTAGACTATAAGTCCTGGTTCAAGTCTCATCTCTATCCACTTACATGAAAATTAAATCATTAAAACGAGGTTGTTTCACAAATGGCTAGTCGTCAAAAAGGATTAATTTTTAGGACCATTATTCTATCATACAAAAGGCATAAAAGATCAGAATTTTCTTTTAAAAAATTCATATAACAATTAATACCAGCAATATACTAATAACCTGTCTCATAAGGGCATCTGCTTTGCAAGAACGAACAGTTCGGAACTGATCCACATTGAGCTTCTTGTTTATGATCCCAACACTGAAGTAAATACTATCGGTCCGCGGCAAGTCAACACTTATCTCGTCAACATTAAACCAGAACAAGAATCTCTTAACCTGAATGCCCTTCAAATTGGTAATCGACCCCATTTTCAGCTTCCCAGTGATCTTTTTCTTGTAATAAACCAAGTAATCGAACTTGATATAACATGGTTTCTTGAGATTGAGCTCAAATTCGCCATTTTTCGAGAGGGTGTAGGAGGTGACTGAGTCGGGTAAGAGTCCACTCGGAAGGCCGAATTTGGGGAGGATTTCGTACACTGTTGGTTCGGGAGTTGGCGGATCGGCGGAGAGAATTGGGGATGAAGATTTGACGGCAATATGACTATGGAGGAGGAGGAATAGGAGACATTGCTGGGTTTTCGAATTCAAAGCCATTGATTTCTTCCAAGTCAGTGGTTTGATTTTGATTCAAGGAAAAATGATTATGAGAGAGAGAGAGACGGTCCTGAGTTTATTGTTGGAATATCATATTCGACTCTGAAGAAAGTTACCACCTTTGATCCTAGCGACGAAAATTATCAAAATTTTCATGGTTCTTATTTGAGAATTTCTATACAATGGTTCAAATTACGAGGAAAAAAAAATAGTTTCATAAAATTGAATATACGATAAACCCAAAAAAAATAAAAAAAAAATTAAACATTTTCTAATAGTAGTCCTAATTTTATAATATTAAAGACTAATTTGCTATTCGAACAATATAAAAGTGTATCACCGTAATTTTATTGTTGAATTTTTGTATAATAAAATCGAAATCTAAATACAAGTATATGAAATTTGGGTATGTATAGGTATGACCTAATGAATATTGATACTCATTTTATGTTAAGTACTGATAATATGTCATATATATCTACTGGTAGATTACGTGTCACATACATTCATTGTCGGATTTTAAATTTAATTCAAATATTGAGATTCATCATAAATTTATCCATAGACAGATATATATGACACGTTATCAATACTTAATATAAAATGAGTACAAATGCTTAGTAGATCATTATTGTGCAATCAATATTATTTTTTACCTACCTTATTTTTAGCAGTCTATTGTTTGTATTGAAGTTTAATATAATAGTTTGGGCAACATTTCAAAATTAATCAAATGGAGTTAAAGTAAACTAAAAGAGAGAGTAAAAAATACATAGAAAACATAGATATATGAATTCAATTACACAAACATGGCAGCTTACAAAAGCACTCTCTATGAAATTTTTTTATAATAAATGTGACATTTTCTCTATTTTCAAATTAATGGCATAATAAATAATTTTTGAAAACCAGAATAAACATAAAGTCTTATTAAATTATTAAAGATTGGGCAAAATATAAAGCACAATTGTAAGCAAGAGCCCTAAACTTCTCCTTTTTCCCCCATTGCTCTTTTCATCAGCGCTTGCTCCCTTGCTAGTGGAATTCCCTGTAACTATCTCAGGGAACAAAAATGAAAAAGAAATTTTACATCAGCTAATCTTGGAGAGAAGAATTACATGTTAAAAATTTTAAATACAAAAACAAGAAGAAATCCTGATTTCTTTTTTGCTTTTCTTCTTTCTACAACTGTCATTCGAATATTTCTTTAACTAAACTTCATTTGGAGCTTTAAACTACAAATAGGTAATTGTCATAGAAACTCTTATAATAAGATCCATTTGGAGCTATAGTTCGTAAAACATGCTAGAAAATGAGAATTGAAATCATTAGAGAAGTGGATACGAGAGGAAGTAGGTATTGAGAATCGATGTGAAACAACTAGTTAGATTTGACTCGATTTTGATTCAATTCCACATACTTTGTTCACTTTTATTTTTATACCCTCCAATATTAACATCCAGATGTTATCTTCATACTCCCAAACCTCACCGCCACCTCATCCTGATCGAAAAGGGTAAAATTGACATTATGAAATTTTGCGCTCAAGATTTGTGAAGATTAAATTGAAGGGTACATTGAAAAACCCTCGTTATCACTATATATGTTCTTTTTCTTACCTTGGGCAATTGTAGTACTATTGCTTTTCTTGGCACTTCTTGCAAAATCCTCAAATACCTTCGCATCCGGTGAATTTGGTGCCAAGTGCAAGAGAGCTGAATCAATTCACACATACTTAAATTAATTATTCCATTCTATAGTGACATATACAACACTCACATGTGTACTTACCGGGACAATCGGATATATTAGCAGGCGCATGACATCGAGTCGGAAGGCCTAATGCAAGTGTTGCATTAATTTTGAGGCCGAGGCTCGGATCATTTCTATCCTTAACCAAGATGCATATGCATTCGGGGCTCGTATGAAGAACTTGTTTGAGGCCGGTGCAACAGTCGAGTGTTGGAGCTTTAGCTTCACCTCCAACGTAGGGAAGACATGTAGCTAGACCTACTAATTGATTTGCACATTGGTCTCTATCTTTGGCTATATCTGATCTTACAAAACCAAACAAAATGAAGAACGAAATGCATACATATTTTGCCTCCATTTTGCAATGTAGACAGAGAGAGGATAGAATGAGAGAGATGCATGCCCCCATGTCTTTATATGCATTTTTATGACATTTTTAACTATAATAAAAAGAATTAATAATTTTAGGTGGTATGGGGTAGCTGGAATAAATTATATTAATTTATTATTAGCCTATCTAGATCGAGAGTTCACATGATAAGAGGTTAAAATCCTCTTCTAACACTTTTTTTTTTTTTTTTTTTTTGGCGTAAAATTACATTATAAAGACTTGACATTTTAAGTATATCAAGTTCTTTCGTTTCTTAAAATTATATATGATTTTTCAAGATTCACTATTTTTCTCGAGTAAAATTTATTCTTTTATAAAATATATTCATCGAAATCATCTTCTTGGAAGGCGATTTAGATTTTTTTTTCTATCAAAAGTCAACCACTTGAAAAGCCTTCATAATCGAGTAACTTAATTAGGGGGCTGTTTGGGCCCGATTTTTTCACCCAAAAAATTGATTTTTTGACCGTTATTTTACTATTACAGCCGTCATATTTGACTTCTTCTCTTACAGGTGGACCTCACTTTTTCCCTAACAGTCAAAAAATCAATTCTCAAAATCACTCCCGAACAGGCTCTAGATGTAAGCACAAATTATTTTGACCATCGTAATATTATATTGCACTATCTCATCTGATTAACTCATCTTTTATTTGTTTTCTAGGATGAGACTGCATGTCTTCGAAAAAGAATATAATTGCAATCCCGTGACAATAAGACTTCATGGCAACTACAATCATAAATATTTGTTTTACGCCCGTGACTATTTTTTGACTTATCTGTGATTTTACAGAAATTTATTAATGTGAGAAGACGTTAATGGTCACACAAAGTCTGGAGTAGGTTTAAATACTCATAAATCACAGCTTCACCTGTTGGTCTGTGACTAATTAAAATAATAAAATTCCATTATATTAAAAGATCAGAAAAAACATAATTTTCGATGATATGCCTTCTAATTTGTTGGGTTTTGATTGGATATGAATACGGTAACATGTTTCATGTCTTTAATGTCACATGTTTTATTACATTTTGTTTCACGAGATTTGAAAATCACAATCGGCACTTAATTTGGTGATGCATCTTGTCCCTCGCCAGCATTATACTACCCTCATATTTATAGTAGTTTCGACTTCAGTCATAATCTTAAGGTCTTGTGAATAATTTCTCACGGGCTCTCTCAAAATTCTCTTCCTTGTAATGGGTTGTGCTCCATCACTTACATCGCTAAGCAATGTTTTAAAAACTAGGCCGGCTCGACTGTTTCAACTTGAAAATTGGGAATTGGGATCAAAATCGATCTGATTAAACTTATAAAACCTCTAATTAAAAACCTGTCTCAAAACCTGTTAAATCGGCTCTTTTTGGAAAACCTGTGATTCGTTCCTAATTTAATCAGTTCAACCTATGTAAATATATACATATATTTTAAAATTATAAATGTACTTTTTTTAATTTTTAATTTTTTTTTTTGTAAATGTATATTTTTTAATTTTTTAAAAATCAGCGGTTCAACCTCGATTCAACATTTTGACCATTGACTATTTCTGTTTTTCGAGTCGATGATCGGATCGATTTTTAAAACATTTCCGCCGAGTGACCACCGTGCACAACAATGCCTTCTTCTTCAATCAAAAATTCTGACTTAATACAATTTTGGCGAGACTTTTTTATAAACTATAAATTCAATCAAACCCGTTTTCTATACACTCTAGAGTAACCGAGCAAATAATTCCGTCAATGGTAAATATTAAAGAGGCCAAAATTAGGGCAAATACGACTCAAATCCACCTATTTGTCATGTTCAATTGCTAAGCATATACCTATCCCTACTATATAAAAAGAAGAATGTGAAATTACTGTAAATATCAACAGTGGATTCTTTCATTGTCACATTATAGCCTCTCTTTTTTTAATTGTGAGAGCAAAAACGATGTCATTTGTCTTCAATCATTTCTCTATTTTTACACACCACTCCACTGCAATATTTCTTAATTTTCACACATTACTTCACCTTAGGGATGACAATCGAGCTCGCCAGCTCAGACCGCCGGTGAGTCTGTTCGGGGCTTGGTAGGCTCGGGCCGAGCCCCATTTTGGGGACACTAGGGCTGGCAACGGTTCGATTATGGGTCGGTTCGGTCAAAATCATAACCACACCATAACCACGTAAATCGGTTCGGTTCGTATCTCGGTTCGGTTCGGCTAATAACCACGAAAATAAATTATTTTTTATAGGTTCATCTGTTAAATTGATAAAAACAATTTATGAAAAAAGTCAATGAAAACAAAAACACAATATTCCAAACGAAAATAGAAACATTATCAAACAATATTCCAAACGAAAATGTAAACATTATCCCAATTTTCAATTGCGAAATACAAATTTAACAAACAATATTATAAATATAACAACACTAAACTTTTCCTTCATTTTTAATTGTTGTGTATCGAAGTTACTTGATTCATTCTTCCCTATAAGTCTTACTAGCATAGATCAGCATTCAAATTTGATTCCTATATAGTAAATAAAAAATGTAAGTAGAGAATACAACGATACTACTTATTCCAGAATGGTCTTAACTAATATTTAAATAAAAAAAAATGTACTTCTTCATCATCTTCCTTCTCACTAAACATTGCATAAATTCTAGAGTATGATGAAGGAGTAGAATTTTCTACACACAATAGAAAAAAATTAACAATAAAAGGAAGTGTATAAATAACAAATATAAAACAATAAATCCTACCATAAATATGAGTCCAAAACCAATCACAAGCACACATGAAAGCTTCTAAAGTCTTTGGATGAAGCTTATTTCTATATGGACTCACAAATTTACCACTTGTACTAAATGCTGACTCGGATGTCACGGTAGATATTGGAATGGCTAATAAATCTCTTACAGCCTTATGTAAAGTCAAATATTTTATTGAATTTTCTTTCCACCATGTCAGTAAATCAAAACCATCCATCCTTGGCAATACTGGCACGTCTAGAAAAATATCGAACTCTCTTTTTATATGATCAGCAGTAATAGAATGGCTAACAAATATAACAAATTTTCGAAGGCGACGACGACTTGAACCGTGGAGGCAGTGGAGCCATGCGTGAGTTTGTGGTTTGTGGAGAGTAGGGTTTGCATTTATATACTTTCATACTAATGCTATTATTATGAGCTAATGGTAAGTGGGTTGGTCGGTTGAATCAGGTAGATGTAATGAGAGGGATTTTGTTTTGATCTAGATAAAAAAGTAGTGTAAAACCCAATAATCAATTCAATTGTGTTTTATTTTTTTAGCGGGTAATCGGTTCGATTTCGGTTCGACGGCGTAAATATCATACCTTCACCACCACGAACCGGTTCATTAAAATCAAAACCATATTTACTCCATTGCATCATCAGTTTGATTTTTTTTGCCCCATTCGGTTCGGTTAACCGCGATTTTCAATTTTGACGGTTCAAATTGCCATCCCTAGGGGACACGGACTTTGCCCGAGCCGGCCTATGAGCTCTCGAGCTTTTTTTAAAAAATAAAAAATAAATAAATAAATACATTTGAGGCTGCCTTGGCAGCAAAACTGCCACCTTTTAAAGGCAGCAGCTTGCTGCCTTTTAAAAGGTAGCCAAGCTGTTACCTTTTAAGGTTTAAAAGACAGCAGTTTAGAAGAAAAAAAAAAGGAGGAGAAAACAAGCCTACCTGGCTAGGCCTGGAAAAAGCCCGAGAAAAAGCTTGGGCTCAGCCTATTTTTTTTGGCTGACCAAAACCGGCTCGAGCTCGCAAAAAAGCTCGGTCATTTTAAACGGGGTGAGCTCGAGCCGAAACTTTAGGTTCTCGAGCCGGCTCGTTTACATCCCTACTTCACCTCATCCAATCTAACTGATAAAGAAAAGAAATTGAATGATTTAACAAATTAAACAACAACAAAATTACACGTAAAAATAAAAACAAACAAAAAAAATTTCTTAAATTAAATTGAAAGAATTAAAATTAAAAATAAACATTAGTTAATTAAAATTAAAAAAATTACGTTTTATCGTAAAACAAAAAGAATTAAAAAGAATTTTAAATCTAACAAAAAAATTTTAAAATATTAAAAAAAGAAATTTTAAATTTTTTTTAAAAAATATAATAAAAACAAAATAAAAGAATGTTACAAAAATTAAATAAAGAGTATATTATTATTATTTAATTAAAATTAAAAAAAACTAAATTTTATCATAAAAAGAAAAGAATTAAAAAGAAATTTTTAAATATCGAAAAAAATTATTTACAATATGAACCAAACAAAATGAAAAAAATAAAAGCACGGAGAGAATTTTTTTTCCTTATTTTTTTCATTTTTTTATTTATTTTGTTTACATTATAAATAATTTTTTTAATTTAAAATTCTTTTTTATTCTTTTCTCTTCATGATAAAATTTATTATTCAATTTTAACTAAATAATATTTATATATTCTTTATTTTATTTTTGCAACTTTTTTATTTTTTATTATATATTTTTGAAAATTGTTTTAAATTTTTTTTCTTCATATTATAAATAATTATTTTTTGACTTAAAAGTCTTTTCGTTTTACGATAAAATGTCATTATTTTATTTTCAATAAATAATATTTATTTTAATTTAATTATTTCACTTTAATTAAAAAAATTATAATAACTTTTTTTTTCGCCTGCAATTTTTTTGTTCTTTAATTTGCTAAATCATTTAATTTTTTTTATTTGTGATATAAAATGATAGTTACAAACTAACTGATTTAACAAATTAAAAAAAATAATTGCAGAAAAAATAGAAAAAAATTACAGGCAAAAAAAAAAGTTATTACAAAGTTTTTAAATTAAATTGAAATAATTAAAATTAAAATTAAAATTAAACATTATTTAATTAAAATTAAAAAAATACTTTTTATCGTAAAACAAAAAGAATTAAAAAGAATTTTAAATCGAAAAAATTATTTATATTATGAAGAAAAAAGAAAATTTAAAACAATTTTCTAAAAAAATAAAAATAAAAAAAATAAAAAAAGTTAAGAAAATTAAATAAAGGGTACATAAATATTATTTAATTAAACTTAAAAAAAAAGTTTTATCATAAAAAAGAATTAAAAAGAATTTTTTTAAATCGAAAAACATTATTTAAATTATGAACAAAACAAATTTGAATAAAAAAAGAAAAAAAACTGAATAATTTAACAAATTAAACTACATAAAAATTACAAGCACAAAAGAAAAGATATTATAAAGTGTTTAAATTAAATTTAAATAATTAAAATTAAAATAAATATTATTTAATTAAAATTAAAAAAATCGGCTTTTATGGTAAAATAAAAAGAATTAGAAATAATTTTAAATCGAACAAAAAATTATTTATAATATGAAGAAAAAAGAAGTTTTAAAACAATTTAAAAAAATATAATAAAAACAAAATAAAATAAACTTACGAAAAATAAATAAAGAATATATAAATATTATTTAATAAGAATTAAAAAATTAATTTTTATCTTGAAAAAAAATATTTATTTTTAAGTTTTAATTATTTGAATTTAATTAAAAAACTTTATAATAAATTTTTTTAATTTTATTTTTAATTTTCTTTTTATCCTTTTTTACTTGCATTTACAGTACGAAACGATATATTTTCCCTATGTTAAACAGCAAAACGACCCATTTATTCCATTAATATGATAAATGATTGAATATATCTTATATATAATTATAAAAAGTATTAATTATTTAATTAATAATAATTAAATTTTGATCAATGTATGTTATATCCACTCTTCTCTTAATGTTTGAGATGAATTTTTTTTTCCAAAAATGAAAAAAATCAAAATAATGGGTAAAATCGAGAATTATCCTTCCCCACTCCACATATGAAATGTATTCCATCCTACAAAAATTCAAACATTAGATTTGAACAAGAAATAATTAAATAAAGCATAATCTCAAAAAATTAAGTGAACTTAATTGTAACTATTATTTTAAACCAACACGAATAAAAAAACTAAATGGTTTAACAAATTGAAGAACAAAAAAAATTTATAGGCGAAAAAAAAAAAGTTATCATAAAGTCTTTTAATTGCAATGAACCAAACGATTGGATTTCACCAAACATTTCGAATCTTTAACAAATTTTGAAAAATCTATAATTTTGACACTAATAAAAATATAATAAATACAAAATTCTACGGAAGTCCATTCTAGAGCTGTCAATGAATGTTTCTGGCTCAAGAATAAGTTGGCACTTATATAGAATTTATTAGGGGTTTCCTTTCATGGTGCTCTCACTTGATTATTTTTTCATATTAATTTGTTTTTTCCATTAACAAAATCGCGAAAAATAAAAAATCCGAATTAATGATAAGACAGAAATTGCTTAAAAATATAGTACCTACCATTCATGGTTATAATGTAGTGTCACCTTCCAACTGTACATATGCATTTAAGATTTAACAAACCGATTTTATTTTCGATGTGTATTTATTGCTAAAATAATTAATTAAGATGGGAAATGACCAAACGAGGTAGTTATCAATCCACGTTGGTTCTTTCGGTCTTCAATTAAACAGTGAACTGGCCGATTTAATCCTAATTCTCGAAATTGTGACTTTTAACATATAATAGAACTCAAATTTACATATTTTTTTGGGTGTCAAATTGACTGGTCGAGTTTATTTTTAAAATATTTATTTATTTTTAATTAAACAACCATTTAATCAAGTCATTGTGCATTCAATGAAGATAGTTTCAAGGATGCATTTAAATTAAGCTTATTAAGTATAACTACGTATAACAAGTGAACAAGGTCATCTTGTCATTCTCAACAGCCTTGATGCAATTGAGGAGGAATACAAGAATTACGAGTACAATTCTTGTCGGGGTTCACGAGAGTATTCTCATAGATATTTAATTGGTGAAAATTAAGATTACTAATCACAGTCTTTTTGTCAATGAAATTTGGTTCGTTATTGAATTGCATTCTTGAGGAATGAGTGAATAATGCAAGAGTATGCTTGAAAAAAGGATGGGGATAGGCTACAAGTGAGTTGACTTGTGGTGAATTCCTAAACTTGATTTTGGTGATGTAGGGAGAAAAAAAAAAGGACTTTGACGAGTGAAACGATAAATTATTCACCAAAGGAGTTTAAGTAGTCGAGAAAATCATCAATGATAATGTTTAACTATGTCTTGCGAAATAAAGTTAATTCATCGAGGGCAAATATTGATCCTAAGAGAGAAATGCATACATTAACCTCAATAGTAAATATGAGTGAAATGCACTCCTGTTTTAGTCCCCTTTTTGAGAAAATTGAGTTTTATAATAGTGATTTTTGGAGAATGTATGATTAAAAAGTACATGTAAAACTATTTTATAAGAGAGCGTGTTGAAAACGAGTTTTGAGAAAAATAGAACTCGAAACAGGAGCTTAAGTTCATGAAGAATAATGTTAATCAAAATACATGAACGTGAACAGTGCAATGCAATAGTTGCTTGATAAATGTTAGTCAATTTAGAATTAAAATCAATTGATTAAGTTGTGTGATCAATATATATTGTGGTGCCAAGTGAACGATCATGGCTTGAATGCTATGGACGATCCGGATCTTGAATGTCTCTCTAGATCAATGTTCGGTGCAAGAAATGAGCCTCGCTTTGTGGTTTTTTGTCTTGTGCTTTTCCATCAAGAAGGCATGATGTAGGACGTGTTGGGGAAAATGTTCTAGTAGAGGGAAAACATTCTAATTCCAAATTGGATCCATAATGCCATTTCAAAAAAATGATGACGAAACGAACAATCTCACCGCTATGTCGTGACGTACGATAAATTTTGGCTAATCAAGTTCGTTTAGGACTTGAAAATTAATTTTTTAAATTTTGGCACTATTTTTGTCATTTTTGTTTATTTTTGGTTTCTTTCCATTTTAGTTTGTTTAAACTTTGTTTTCATTAATTTTAATTGTTTTAAACTATATTTCCATGTAAACCCTTATAAATAAGGGGGATATTTCGTTTTTTAATCATTCATTAATAAATTTTGTAAGTTTATTTTTCTTCATAATTTGGTGGATTTCAAATTTCTTATTCTTAAGAAGTTGTCTGGCACAACTTTTCATGGAAAAGTTATTGTTGACAGTGAAAATACTACCATTGGCAGCCGCAATGTTTGACCTACTCTCTCAAAAGTGGGTCCCGTCTAACCAAATAACGGTCAAATTTTTGCTGAAAATCTGGAAAAGAAGCTGCACCAGACATGTTCTAAAGTTTTCACTTGAATTCCTTGTTTTGTGCTGCGTAAGTGTAAACTGGATGCTAGATTTAAGATTATAGTGCAATATTTATACATTTTTAAGCAGTAACAGATGTATATTGTAGAGAAAACTATGCTTCGTCTAACTCATTCTTCGATATAAAACACTCGTGATAATTTGAACTCTTCTTTACATTGAAACTCTCGACAAAGTGGAAAGAAAAAAGAAAAAGAGTAAAATGCAATATACCATCTTCATCGTGAATTTTGGGAGGATTCTTGGACAATCGAATCAAACTCAAGGCTCGCTGTTGGGAAGCCTGCTCAGAATAGAGTGCTCGGGTTTATGTTCACATTCGAAATCAAGATGAACGAATGCTCGTTCAACTTCAGGAAGTTTCTCAATCTTTATCTGAAGTGTCTCTCCAATCGTATGAGCTTCGTTTAAGGGCAAATCTCTGGGGAGTTCAATATCAACCTAATTTGGAAGTGGAAACCATAAACTATATTAAAAAACCGCACCATTTGCGTTTGTAGAAATAGTGTTACTAGCTATGAAGGCAATTGATATAACTAACCTCAACAAAATATAGAACACCAAACGTGTATGCGCGAACAGTGTCAACGCGCTTGATCTTAGGGTGTCTCATCACAAGATATGTCAATTTCTGCAATACTTCAGGAGGTGCGGATTGTCCCACTAGTGACACTGAATCAAAGAAGGAATTTTTTTTATGTAAGCACTACCCGAAGGCTACAAATTCCACTCAAGAATACTGGAACTCAAAGATCTTAAGAACTCTACACGTAAAAGCAAAACAAAAATGCTAGGTTTGGCGCACCGAATTAGGCTGTCCAAAAAGTTATACATAAAATTAGACGAGATATTATTAGGTGGATTAATGTGGATGGTATCTGAATGTTTTTCATTCAAAAAATTACTATTTGCAATATCTTTCTTATCGGGTCTAAACCCACCTCCTCACTCAAGTCTTATATAATCCGGATAGCTTAAGAACAATAGTGCGAATAACATTATAGAGAATACAAAATTAAAAACACGCTCCACATAATTCCATCAAAATACTACCTGTATAGTATATCTACTATAATTTTATATATGCTTCCTTGTACTAGTACCAAAAACAACCAAAGAGTACAAGATCGAAAGGCAATTATTAGAGTAGCAGAAATATAGAAAGAAAATCATTCACGTGAGTATGAATTGGTTTGACTAAAAATGAGGGCACATTAGAACATCATTCTATCTATCATGCTTGATTATTAGAACATGGGTCCATCTTCTCAATATTATTTATAAAGACTTCAAGTTCAAAGGAACCAAGATAAAGGTAGAATTAGGTACCTGCATTTTCTAGAACAGTTCCCGACCAGTTTGAAATCGTATAAACTGCAAGGATAAGGGCTCCAGCAGGGTCAAGCCACCAGAAGAACTTGTCACCTAGAACTGCCGCAACTAATCCTACTACATTAGTTACCACATCGAAATAATGATCCTGAAAATTAGTGCTAAGTAAAGTTAGGCAAACAGGTTATCTAAATAAGAGTTTTTATGACACGGATAGCGAGATACCTTTGCGTAGGCTCGAACAATCTTATTTCCTGAGCTTCTGCAGTAAATCCACAGAACAAGTTTTACGACTGTGGCAGTTATCATGATTGCATACAACCATATAAGCTGTTCAGAGGTCATCTTTGCTGGAGATTTATTTTCAACTAGTTGTTCTATAGCCTGAACCAGTACCTGAAAGCCTAAATATCGCAGCTTGTTAGATTTGACCTTTTAGATCAGACAGAAGACATGAGGATTCTTTAAGTGCACAATATGCCTATCGATACTGTTTGAAGCCTTATTTTACTCTGCAAATTTTCACCTTGACTGAGAAAAAGATGAAGTACAGGGACATACCGAGTGTAGCCATAATAGCAGCAAAAATGACAATGCCCACTGGCTGCACTCGCAATTTCCCAATTGGATATTTATAAATGTCAATATTTTTCATCGAGAGGTGGGTGAACCAAAGTATTCCTCCAGCCATGAGATCAAGTAAGGAATCCAGGGTCGATGCAGCAATGGCAAGTGATCCACTCTTTATGGTAGCGAAGATCTGTAGATTGCAAAACATATGTTGTCATCAGCAGGAAAGCGTAATCAACAAGAATCTTCATCAAGCCGATATTTCAGAATCGAAAGTGTTGAGATCTTTTATCCCGTCAACAAGAAGGCTCAGTGTCTATACATTATTTCAAATATAGCAATGCTATTTTTGGCAACAGGAAATTACAGGAAGACGACTGTTTTTCTGTACGATTTCTGTTAAAAAAAATCTGTGCTTGCTGATTAATTCTTTCAAATAACACTGAAAAGTCGTATAATACAAGAAATAACACATCACCTTAAAAGCCAGCAGTAAAATATTTGCATAATTAGAAATTTTCATTGCTCTCTCGTGTTGTGCTTGCTCCTCTAGATCTTCCTCATATACAGAGTCAGATGCCACCAAGGAATCGACTTCCTCGAATGATTTCAAGGTTGCAAACTGATTGTCATAATATTCCTTTTCACCTATACGATAAATTCTCAAGTAAGGAGAAGGACATGAAAGAAGAAACAGAAGGATCACAAGCAAAATATTTGCGGTGAGATTACTTTTCGACCTATAGCATCAACAAACAGTTCGTTTCATACGAAACTTCAAATCTATCGAAGAGAAATCATAAAGAAAATCACAAAAATGAATAAAATTATCATTACAAATCCAAACTGCAACCAAAATTATTACCTACACACTATAGATTAATTCATGCATATTGGTCTTACATATATTCAATTAACTACAATTTGTGTTTAAGGCCATGCAAATATCCTTCACAAAATGCTAATAATATTTCCATTAAAACCGGCACCATTTGTTACAATTACGTTAAATGAGATGTATTTTCCAAATTCTAATCTTTCTATTAATCTAAATTTACTTCAAATAAAGCCTTAAATCCCCTTCCAAAGCTCGATGTAATCTGTTTTTAATTAACAAGAAGGGATTTGTGCAAAAGTCCCACCTCAAAAATTACTTATTCGAATGTTAATTACTTAAAAACAAAGTTAAATACGAACCTTTGGTTAAACCCATAGTTCTAGATAGATCAAAGAGAGAGGAGGACTCAGGGTCAACTCCTGACCGGACCTTATCAGGCAGCCTGGAGATAAATTCATTGCGAAGCGAGTTGACTGAGTTCCGGCGACTGAGTCTGCGGCTGAGCCGCCCGCTCCCTCTTAACTTCCACCCATCCAGCAGCGGCGCTTTAGGATCATCGATCTCGTTATTTACACCATTTTGACTCTCTCTCTCCATGATTCACCTGAAAAGTCTCTGTTGAATCGTGTACTGCCATGTATTTATAGAATGGATTCATATACTGAGAACCGCCCGAGGAAAATTTAAATGGTTGTGGTTTGTACCCGTGGATTACTTCCAACTCAAGAAGAGGAGCATAAAAAAATCGCGCTTAGACGTGAAAAATTTTAAATAATAAAGCAAAAAAATAAAAAATAATAAAAAAGTACGACGCCAAACGTTTTGCGCCTATTTCGCACCTAGGCTCTTTTTAGAATACTTATTATAGTAAATTTGAGTATTTCGTATATGGAATCATTGGATTCACATAATTATTGAAATAGAACTTGGGTATTTTTGAAATCGGAATGAAATCCCATGTTCTGATTTAGTGCTTGTTTGATAGGAATTTTGATAATTGATTTTTTGATCGTTAAAGATGAAGTGAGTTTTACCTGTGAGAGAGGAATTCAAAAATAATGGCTGAAATAATAAAATAACGGTCGAAATAGTGATTTTAATTCGCTTAATAGCTGTATCAAACAAGCTCTCAATATTCACTCCTAGTCTCTTATTCATTGGATAGAGACGACTATCAAGATTTCATGACTTGAACTCATTCCAATCTCAAGAGTTCAGATGTTAATGGTCAAATTAGGTCTAAAAAAATTAAAGTAAATCAATAAAACAAAAATTAGGGTGTATTGGTCACTTTTAACGGTTTTGTTATTTTGATTTCTACTTACAGTCCAACCAATTCACAATTTTTTCTGGTTGAACTAGCTGCTTCAATTTGTTTTTAAAAACATTCCCTATTGCGAAGGAATATACTATTTGTACATAATGCGGTATTTATAACGGCGCCCACCCTCCATTTTCTCTTATTTTCTGAAATTCTAAATTTCGATATCACACGGAATTGGCATCGAGCCGTTAGGTCCATCGCATGCACATCAATGACTCGCTCCTTGTGATGATTTAGTGGTCGAATCAGTATAGGTATGATAACTTTTTCTAATACAGTCGATACTCATGATTTTTTCAATATGACAATGTTTACATGTACGGTTCTATTTGAATAATGGATACATCACTCCAATATTAAATGCCTTATCTTGAAGAGCAAATTGTGATACTAAATTCCATTAAGCTGAACTCCCGTTAACAAATTCTATATTATTTTGATAGATCAAAATAATCTCTTTATATAAAATTTTTTTGTTTGTTGAAATTCATGCCCCATTTATTCTTGAGCTATAGTTTAATGAATTGTCTATTTTGAATTCTCAAATGTACATCTTAGTCAATATTGTTTATTAACGTTAGATGACTTTTTAATATAGTTTTAGGTTACCTAATATTTTGTTTATTATTTTAAAAGTTCAAAAGTCAAATTGCCAGATAACATGCCTTTTGGGATCAATAAAAAAACCCAATCAACAACCCTCCAGGCTTCTTTAGAGCCTGTATATAATGTACTGTATATATTATTAAAGCAAAAGAAAAAAATTAAGCAAAATTTGAGAAACGGAGATAGCATGGCCTTGCTCTCAAAGACATTTGCCGAAGAGTTGACTCAACAACACTGGGCAAGAACAAGTAGATAAAATCTTATTTATTATATTGTCTATTCGAATCACGTTGAGTCCAATAAAGCACAATACTTCATATCCAATGTTGACATTGTGGGTAGGCGGCAAAATCACAGCTTCAACGAAGCAAAAACTCATAAATTGTCCAAATTCTGCTGAAAACTTGTCAAGTCAATAAGTTTATAGAGTTCAAAGAGTTGAGAGTAGCCCACAGGCTATACCTTTTATACAGTTGATGTATAGACAAATTAAAAAAAGGGTTTCGCTTGGTGTACATAATTTTTTTTGTATATCAAGGTATCCTCACACTCACATGGGGTGGGGTCCATCTAATATTTTATTCAAATGGACCACACCCCATGTGAGTGTATGAATACCTTAATATACAAAAAATTATGTACAAATATGTTTATCCTTAAAAAAGATCCTTCTTGATCATACGAAATTTGCCAGACATATGTAAATAGAGTTTATGTAAAGAAAGGCAAAAAGGGGGGTCCATGCTTTTTATTTTTTATTGGGCATGAGCTCTTTCCTTATGTGAGTGGCGTGTATACCGGCGTGTCAACGTAGGTTTACAAATAGCAAAATTAAAAAATAAACTACCCCGCGATTGTGATTCACGAAAGTAAGTGTGGCTTATGAATGTAATTTCCATATACGCCTAGTCAAGTTTGGCTTGAGCTCTTGGCTATCACCTCCACAGAAAAGGAGCTCCATGTTTCTTTGAATTATTAGTCCAGCCAAACTCTCTCGAACCGTTTTACGACTATCATGAATGCTCCTCGGAATGCCTTGCCATGTCACCTTTCTTCCATTTCCGCCAACTTTTAAGCTATAATTGAACTTTTCACATCACACTGCTCACCCAAGAAATTAATGAATGCCATATAAACCCGAACCCTTCCTAGATCGAATGCCTCAAAGTGCAAGCAGAAACGGTAATAAAAATTGTTGAATAGTTGCACTTTATGAAAATCATCGAGTATGTTTTAGCATAAAAATTTTCACTTATGTAACACCCCATAAATCTTAGAGTGTTACTGGAAGTTTTCTTTTCTTTTTATTAAAGGCGGAATGATCAAAATAAATTTCTTCAAGAATAAAATAATTGAAATATCATAAATCTAAACTAAACATGGAAATTGTATCTTTAAAAAAATTAACATGTTCAACTAACCAATTAAATAACATGACTTTGAACTTTAAACCAACTAATAAATTTAATGACGGAAAAAACTTAATATATATTTTTTTTCTTTTCTTTGATTTATTTGGTAGCCCGCATCACCATTTCACCATAGTTCCAATCGACCCACACAAGTCCACCATTCCTAATGGCCCAAATAACTCAATCCTCTAATAATCCGGTTTAGGTTCGAACAGCATAAACTTCATCCCCAATTCCCATCCAAGACTCTATAGAACTCATTCCAAATCTACCGATCACTGTGAGTCTGCCAGTCTCTTCAAGTCGTCGACGCCACTAGAAGCCTTCAAGTTCGACAGTGCCACTGGAATCGGCTCCCTTACGTCCCTGACTCTCTGCTCGCGCAATGATCCGTTGTTCTAACTTTCTAAGGTAAAAACCTAACCTTTTATTTTCGGCTATATGTTGTGATAACGGGTGTGGCGGCTATATGTTGCGACTAGTTGTAGTCTAGATATATGTTGCGATAAAGGGTGTGAAGCTGCACGAATTGTTGCTTGTTCATCACCACCTCCTTGGATTTAGCTCTATTAGTTTCTTGAATGTCAATCAATTTGTTGGATTCAAGAAGATTTTCTATGGGGTTCAAGGATTCAACAACCATGATGGCTTTTTTTTTTTTGGAGGCTTTGAAAATCAAAACTAGAGCTAGAGGCTTGTTCTCTAGCTTTCTCAAATGTTGCTTTTTCGCCCTCTTTTTTCTAGCTTCTATGGTTTGACTCTTGTCCAATAGTACTATTTCTTAATCTTTAGAATTGGAATCAGAGATAGGATCATCTTTCTATTCTTGTGTCTTCTCGAATGCTGCTTCTGAGCATTTTTATTGGTCAGCTTGATTGTGCACTTGCTGTGTAGATATTTTTTCCAATGCTATAGAAGGTGGCGCTTTAGTAATTGCATCATCTTCGTCCATTGTATTAGTTTTTTGGACAATGTATTGACTATTTTGTGGCATGTCTTGATATATTGACTATTTACTCATTGTTTGACGACTCTCACCATTCAGTTGTTACCTTTTGGTTTGAGTATGGCTGCATCTGGAATTTTTATTTTTTTTTGACTTCTTCAGGTACTACAAGTAATGCTAGAGCTATCTTAGTCTTGGGTAGAGATCTAATGGTGGTTCCAAAACTAATTCATCCATTGTCACCGGCAATTTCATCTCCTCAGACCTCACCTAAACACCAAATAGACGACACATGGATGCAAGTACAAATGACATCTTTACTCTTGGTTTCCAATATGATCATGTTCTTAATCACGTGGGATTGCACCTTTGGCCCACAATATTTCATTATAGATGCTTAATTAGTCCCCAGTAATAGAAACCGTCCAAATCTATGTACAATTTGGATGACCCCCCACATGCCCAACTTAATGAAGCTAAATTTTTCTTCCCAACTTGGGCTGATGCCCAAGAATTTGAAGTGTTTCCATCAGGGCCACTTAACGATTTAAAAGATTTGGAAGCCTTTATCATTTTTATATTTTATCGGGACCAAAAATATTGCTCAACTATAATGCAAGGATGGGGACCAACTTAATGCTGGGACATTACTTAGGCCAATGATGAAATTTCCTTTCAATCAACTATGTGTCCTCTCGTGCTGATGTTGATCTTTGTTTGTATTGTGAAATTAGGATCTCAATGTTAACAGACCACCTACACCAACTAGGGGTCTTCCTCAAGTGACTAATGATAGAGATTCTCTTGCTTGGATTTAGATTTTGTCTCCTAAATTGCTTTATCGTACTCCGGGTTGATGCTTTCACTCCAAAATTTTCATGATCTGTACGTAGCGTTGACCTCGAGAATTGGACCCTCCACGTGGCCAACGGGTAGCTACTCCATGTAATCCTCTCTGCGCACAACAACGCATGGTCAGAAGCATACGGTCGAAACTAGGGGTGGTGGTGACGACCACATACACTCGGACGGTCAAGTCAGCATTGGGTGATCGGAACAGTGCTCCAGTTATACAAGAGAGTGGGGATGATAATATATATTTCTTAGTATAGAGAGTTAAGTTATAAGAGTTTCATTATCTTTGTCTCTTGCTAGACCTTGGTATTTATAAAGGTAGAACACCGCTGGATGTGGGACACATGTATGCATCTGACGGTGTGAGGCATCTGCTCATAGGCATCAATCAGCCACGTCTAGAGTGGGCGGACAATTAGTTCTTCTGAGTTTGGTTAACATAAGGTTGATAAGTCACATCAACTAGACTTATGGAGACGTCACATCAATTGATCTTTGGAGGCAGAGGGGATCTTGACAGATATCTTTTTGACAGTGGCGGCGAAGGGATCTGTTAAGGGAGTGTCTCGAAGTGCTCAATGCTTCGGAGTTGAGGGATACTTCAGTTGCTTCAGTGGATATACTCTTCACCCTGCAATGCGCCATGTTGAGGTCGTTAGGAGTGGGCATCACTTCGGAACCACTTCGGGTGAACATGTGGAACTTCGGGGAGTGGTGTCTGTTGTTCTGAAGTGGTTTAGTTAGGGGTGTAACACATAGCTTGATTCCATGTCGAGGATTCTGCAGAGATAAGTTATTCACTCTTAGAAATATAAAGGCTCTTTGCTTTCACTGGAGTGCGTTCAGAAGATAAAGAGGAAGAGTTTGAACATGTTGCAGGCGGCTAGTTGTAGTCTACATTTATTGTGCTGAAAGCAATTCAAGATTTCCCAAAAGCTCTACATGATCCATAACAGGTGGAAGTTACTGTGTCATTTCTTCCTTTGTGTGGGCAGGCTTCGTTTTTTCCATCTTTGTATATTTTTCATCCATTGGGTAGGTGCGTTATTGTTATTTTGCTGTCACTTGTGAGAGGACTTGAAGTTCGTATAGAGGTTGGTGAGATATAATCCCAAATTAAACCCAAATTATGGTAAAACTAAACAATATATCATAATCATTTGAAGATTACCCTTTTTAACAGATAATTACGCAGAAAATGCCATCAATTGGTTTCAAACATAAAAGGGAGCAGTTTCTCCAAAATTTTCAAGAGGAAGAAAGAAATAAAATAAAGTGAACTGAACATTATTTAAGCCAGTCTAATTATGGTAAAAGTCTGGTCCATTATAGGCAACGTTGAACTTGTTTATAATAATTGTCGACTGACCATTTGAATCAATAAGGCTTTAGCTATTGTTGGATTTGAGCCTCTTAGGAAAGCATCAGTTTCCATTTATTGCTTATTTCATGATGTCGTAGTGTAATTTTATTGTTTATAAACCTTTTATGTGGAGACCACATCTCTTAATTGATTACGTGAGCTTGATTTTTTTTTTTTTTTTGTGTGATTTTAATTTTGAGTGATCGTTGATAACCAAAAGGGGAAAAAAAGGAAGAAATAAATTGAAAATTCAGAGCAAAAATCTGGTGGATTTGATTTTCTGTAAATCTTGAAAGTTTATAATGAGTTGTGCGTAGATGACTATACAAGGGTTACCTCAGATAATGCACTCTATGAGGATCCGAATTTGATTGATTGTGGACTTACTAATTGAGAATTTTTTGACTCTTCAATTGAACTAGACTATAGATCTTTAGTCAGTTTCTACGGTTCTCGACCTTGCAATATGATAAAGTGTTACAAGAAACGCCATTGGAAGAGATGCTGGCCAACGTGGATGAACTTATGTTCTTGAATAATTTATGACGTTTGGCCAAAGAGCAGTATTAGACTTATTCGATGAAGGTATGTTTTGTAGACTATATATATATATATGAATTTATTTCCATTTTCTAAATCAATACTAGTTCTATTTACACATGAGCTTTGAATCAAATTTTGCTATCATTTCATAGAGTTCTCAATAGCATGCAATTATTGGTAGTTTTTTAGGATGTACTCTTCTGCTTGATACTACTTTCTCTATCAAACGGATTTCAATGTTTGGCTCTATTAATCAGGTTGATATACTTGGGGAAACAAGACATGATTATATCTCATTTTCCTCGTAAGTAAAACCAAGCAGAGCTCCTACATTTGTACAGGGCAGAGCGAAGATAAAAATAGTCGAAATAATTAAAAAATAGAGAAAAAAAGTTGTAAATTAATTAGGGAAAAACAACACTAAAAAAAGTTGCAAATAAGGTAAAGGTCGTTTAAAAAATGTTGCAAATAGGTTAGGGCAACGTTTTATAAACGTTGCAAATAATTTTTAGCAACATTTTATGACTGTTGCTAAAAACCTATTTAGCAACATTGTTAAAAACCTATTTGCAATGTTTGATAAGCGTAGCAAATACGTTGCAAAAATAGTATTAGCAACACTTGAAAAACGTCGCAAATTGGTTTTTAGCAATAATTAAAAATCGTTGCTAAAAGTTATTTCAACAAAAGTAGTCCTAGTAACACTCGAAAAACATTGCTGTATCCTTCCACTCTATGAAGTTTACAACATACGTCCAAACGTTACAAAAGATTTTTGGCAACGTTTTTTGAACGTTGCAAAAAGCAAATGTTGCAAAAAGCTTTTTTTGTTGTAGTGATAGGGACCATATAATAAATTACTTTCCATTCATATTATCATATGGGAATCAAGAGGGTGAGGATAAAATGATGCTAAATAATTTTCATATTTCTAAGAACTATGATGCTAGGTGAAAGCCAACTTACATCAAATTTGTGAAAGAAGTGACTTGTTCAAACAAAAATAAAACTTTTGTTACCTTAAAAAATGGAGGTTTAAATTACTCAATCCACTTTGTCAATTAAACTAACTCCTGAGGCAAAATATTTAATACTAGTATACGTTTTATATAGAATCTATATCCACTATAATATACTGAAGACTATTTGTTCTACCTCTTCAGGCATTTATTTGATAACATATTGATGATGCTAGTGGAACTAGAAATTCATATGGCAGTTAAGACTAAAAGGAAACTTATCAAAATATGAAGACAGATTCTTGGAGAAGTAAAAGTTACCTAGATGGACAACCAAGAGGATTTTTCAAGAATTGCAGAGAAATGTGTTGGAAATTTAACTTGATTCATGAATGTTGGAAATTAAATTTGATACATGAATTAGTTTATTTAATATTCATGTATCCACATGGTTCTTTATAGCCTACTATTCATAGTATGTGGGAGAAGTTATTAATTAGTTTCTTAAGTTTATACAATGTATTCGGGACCCTTTGTACCTATAAAAGGCCTCGTGCTTGAGACATTTCATAGAGAAAAGTCATAGAATACAAATATCTTTTGAGAAATTTCCGTAATTTTCTTTCTGGCCTTTCTTCCCATAATTATTTATTTCCAACAAAATGAAGGGTAAGTTATACAATGATCTTGTAGCTAAGACTGGGAAATTTATTTACAAGATATCTTGTGAAAAGGAAATTAGATAAACACGATATAAATCAAGTCATGTGTATAGGGATCAAAATCATGGACTTCTACTTCATAACTAAGAAAGATGAGGAATTATTTAATGTGGGGGAGTATANTTTGATATTAAATAATTTGTTCACAATCAATGTATAAGGGTTGACACCTTGTACTGGACGATTGTAGTGTTGATTGATAGATTGTGATTTGTCTTTATCACAGAAATAGTTAAAGGTGACACTAGTACACTTGGAGTGTATTGAACGGATCGCGTGTCAAATTTAATTCTATAGCACGATCGTGCAGAGAATTAAATTCTACTACGCCGCTGTGAATTTCATCTAAATCCATTCACATGATTATATATATCTTTTCATGATTTTAATGGTTCTTTTATTCATAAATGGGTGAAATAATTTGATTGGTCAAATATCTCAATAAGTTGGGAACTCAAGAATGAGCGGAATGGAGAACATGAATTCGTGTCGGGAATCGTCACCCTAAAAAATGGGTAGAGTAACTACTTAGTATGTTCTATTGAACAGTTAAAATCTGAGTTCAGTGTTGGACAACGGTTAAACTTCGACAACTGTGATTAGTTCACAAAATCGTTGAAGAAAATGAAACTTAATTTAGTGAAAATAATTAGGAGGGCAAAATAGTCATTTATGCTCGCACCTAATTATCAAATATGAGAAAGGGATAAAATACATATATGGCAAGTCAAAAGAAATTATTACAGATTTATTGACTTCTGTGATATTATATGTTCCAATAGTTTAGTTTTTTGCCTTTAGTGGAAAACGTAAAGACTAATAATTAGATTGAGTGATCTAAAGTCGACTAGACATGATTTTATTATTGGAACTTGGATAATATATGTCTAATCAGGTCCTTATGGTAGCTCCATAAAGTATTGAAATTTAATTACGGTAATTATAATAGTTTTGGCTTAATTGAATTATAATAAAGTTTTGTACTTAGTTGTAATTACTACGAAAGTTGTAAACTTAATTATAATTGTAATTGAAGTTCCATGACCACATATATAATTATATATAAACTAATTGGATTTAGAGTTTAATTAAAACTCCTACTTGGATTTTAATTAGAACTGCTATTTGAATGTGGAATTATTATTATATAAGAATTGGAGCTCTTCTATTTCTATAAATGGAGATTAGATGGAATTTAGACATCCTAAGAAATTGTACAATAATAATAATACGTAATTCCATGGTGTTAAAATCTGGATAGAAAGAAAATTATTTTTCTTGATTTTTTCAATTGTTCAGTTTAAGAATTAGTTTTTTTATTTAATTAAAAGAATGTGCTCATCCATCGGTGTAGTTTTGACTTTGAAGAATACCATAGAATATTTAGAGGTTTGAATCATCAAATTCTTGAAATTAAAAGCTAGAAGTTTGTGATTCATAATTCATTCAAGAATTGACCATTGAATTTAGGTAAAAATTTGAATCCTTTGTTTTTTAATATAACACACATGTGAACATCTAAATGATTTTATTTATTTAATTAAAGATTTTTTATTTTTATTTTTATTTTTTTTAAAACTTTTGGACAGTTCCACTTCCGCATTCCAACAAAAAGTACCCAAGAAACAAAAAAATTTCACTTACAAGAGATCCTATTAGGTGAATTGGAGGATACGTTTTGTTCATACAAACGGGGCACTCAAGCAGTTCACCTACAACAATTTTTGACAGCTTTCCATGCTTCACACCCATACAAGTCGAACTGTCAGGTGCAATAATGCCCTCATTGGTGCTATCTCTAAGAGCCATTGTTTTTCCAAAATGGCAATTCATTAAATTCCTGTAAACGTTAGCATGCAAAGTTAATTAATTGTGAATACTTGTGAGAATTAGTATTAAGAAGTGAATTAATAGACAACGTTGATGCTACAATAAAAACACTGGCAGAATTAGAATGCTTAGATAGCAAATAATGTCGAAAAAGTTCAATTACCCATGCGTTATACAAAACATGATTGAAATCAAATATTGGAAACTCATTATTCAAAAACTTAAATTGGAAAGTAACAAGTGAGCTGGAAAAGAAAAATCAATAAACTAGCAAAGTTTGTATATCGCTGTTAAAGGGAAAATATAATCAGCCTAATATTCATAAAGTATTCTTCAACATGTAATGCTCTCCTGAGTATTTTGTAATAAAAAGCAAAAATAAGAAAACAAGATGTCATTTAAGAAAATCTATGTTTTGATCAAGTAAAAAAAGAGGAACTATTTTTGGCTCCTGAGCTCACCAATTATTGGAAATCCAAGGCTGAATACTCCTTAAGCCTGAAATATATACGAGCCAAAGGACTAAATCAACAAATTTATTGTAACATTACAAAATTTTCTAGTAAAGATTTTTAATATTTTAGGGAGATTGTTTTTAATTTTAGAGACTTAATTTAATGATAAAATAAATGTTATAAGGGATTGTAATTAAAAATAATATTATGGGGATTGAAAATACAATTTTATAATTGCATATTTGCCCAATGGTTAAAGGTGTAATTTTATAAACAAAGAAATAATAGAACATATGGTCCAAGGTCTAAATATGTAATTTTAAAATCCAATTAAATGATTGCACATTATCATAGGGGTTATATATGCAATTTCATAAATTGCACACTTAATCCCTACCATCAATTATAAATAGAGGATAGTTGTGAAATGTGACATACCATTTTTCCCATCATTTTCACTCCTTAAGGTATGTCTTTTCTTTAGTTAATTATTTTAAATTTTTCTTTAGTTAATTATTTATTTAGATAATTATTTTAAGTACTTATTTGGTTTATAAATAGGAATTAAAAATTGTTCCTTTAGGGTTTTTTAGTAATTGATAAAAGATAATATTATAATTAAGTTTAATTAATAAAATCAAGGAAGATAAACTATAATTTTTCCATTTCAAAATCTTAACTTTGGAAATTTTAAAATTTATAAACTAGTTGAAGATATATTGAGTTTTAGTTTACTTAGCTTACATTATTAAGGATTGTATAAAGTAGTTTTGGGGAAAATATAGAGAGCAAGGAAGAAGTGAGTAGGGATAGAAAATAACTTGGTATAATAATTGTTAATATCATCATGATAATGAGTATGAAAATTGGGCCACTACTATAATTATATAAGTGGTAAATTCAAATTGGAAGAAAGATAACAATTAGCACTTGAGGCTTAAACTTAAATTACTTTGAGCTAGTTATGTGATAAGATGTGGAGAAAATTTGTTATAATGCATAGTATCAATGGTAAGATATGATGGAAATGTGGTAAAGAAGAATATGGATTGAATAAGAAATTTACTAATGGGTATGGATGCATATATATACTTGTGTTAATTGAAATGAAAAGTGGATCAAGCATGAAATGGGAAAGTAATATGGTAGTGTATTGACCAACTTAAATTGTACATGTAATAATTTTATGGAATTTAGTTAATGACGATAACGTTAATTTCATTTATATTATTAATGTTATTATTATTACTACTAGTTGACAATAAGCTAGTATCATTATTTTTATTAGAGATATGCTATTAAATAACCTATATTATCTTATAAGTTTAGTCTAGATGTGATAATCGGAAAATAATAAGATAAGATATGATTAATGTAGAGATTATT